ACACTTGTTAATATGGCTCAAAAGATGGCTCTGTGAACTTGGCTTAGGAAATACTTAACAGGCCAAGGGAGGAAGAGAGCAAAGCCCCAACTTCACAGGTGCCACCAGCGGCACTGCCCAGGGTTCTACTGCTGGCCCCTTGGAAGGCCACACACAGGTAACTCCCAGAACTGTCCCCCAGGGCCAGGACAGACCCTAACCCAGTGTCTGCTTGCCCATGAGGCCTCGCATCTTGCATTGGTCTGGGAAACAAAGGACACTGACCTGGGACCCAACTTGAACTTGTCATTTGAGAGGAGAATGGCATGACTTGCATTTCACAAATGAGGAAACTGAGGTCAAGGACAGCCGGTCCCGGAGCAAGGCAAGGGACTGAGGCAGCACTAGGGGCAGGGGGCTGCCCATCTTGCCTTGCTCTGGAACAGCTGGCCACCTCGTCCGCTACTCATGTGCAGCCCAGAGCTTTGTTCGTTTTTCACACATCCAGAAACACCCTGGAACCCAGCTGATCTCCAGGGGGAAAGAGTGATTTAAAGCAGAACCGATGCTTGTAAACAGCTGTGGGGTTTCTCAGAGGGCAGAAGGCGTTGAAAACCTTTGGTGGAGTCAAGGGCTTTGATCAGACAGGGGAGGGAGCTGGACAGTCATGAGCATCTCCAGGCACATTGCTGTGGCTTCTGTAGATGAGGAAGCTGAGGCTCAGAGGAGGGATTTGAACCCGGGCCCTGCAAGGCCAACCCCTGGCCTTCACTCTGTGAGTTGCTGGTAAACCTCCCCGAGCTACCTTCCTTCCCACTCCATCTGTGGGAGATGCAGGGAGATGAATGGGGCAGCTGATGGCCGGTGCCCTGTTGTCTGGGGTGAGGAAGGGCTGCCTGGATAGGAGAGACCACCCACCACCACCACCCAGGGCATCCCCCTGTCCAGTGTGGGGCTGTGCCCTTCCAGACTGTCCAGCTGCTCAGAACAGCCCTCGTTCTGCTCAGAAGGACTTGACTTGGGCTTGAACACTCAGACACTTGCCCTGCCCTGCCTTTGTCCAACCTGACCACGCCCCCACCCCATGTTTTCCTTGGCTCCATTCAGACTAGCCCCAGGCCCTTCCCTGAGATGTTTGTCCTCCTCTCAAGAACACCCAGAGCCGCCCCCGCTCCATGGTAGAAACACCTAGTTTGTAGACGGTCTGCACAGTCTCACACCTCAGTTGCTTTGCTAAGACCCAGCCAGGCCCTGAGTCCATCGAGGCTGAGTCCCCTGAGCCCACTGCAGGGGTGGAAGGAGTGCTGTCCTTTTAAACACCCTCAAAGTAGAATGACGGCTCAGACAGCCTGCAGGAAAGAAATCTGTTCCGCAGAGTGTAACTCAGTGCTTCTCAAACTTACTCAACTGTGGAATCCCTGTCTCCAGGCAAGCCTGTTGGCACCCTGCAGAGCAGTGTGCTGTGGGGCACCAGTTTGGGAAAGGTATTCTGGAGAGTAATTGTGGGCAAGGTCCATCTCCTGGAGATTCACAGCCACGGTCTCCCAGACAGCCCAACTGTCCCCAGGACAGGAGGAGAGGTCAGAATCACATCCCCAAGCCAGGCAGGTACATCTGACGGCAAAGCCAGCTGCTCCTTCCTTGCCAACCTTGGAGTCCCCTCCTCAGTGACCACACCCACCCAGCAACCTCTCCCAGGTCAGCCACTGCCCCATACAGAGAGCTCGGGGGCCTGGGGATGGTTTTCTTGCCCAGGTGTCATCCTGGCTGTGGGTTGGCTCTCTCCCAGGGGCTGGCCCAGTCCCGTCTGCTCCATCAGTTTTCACACAGGGAACTTCGGTGCCGGCATGGACATCTGCTCAACCTCAGCTCCAGGCTTGGCTTCTGGGAATTGGAATTGACTTCCCTTCAGCCCGCGGTGGGAGCTCCCAAGAGCACTGCACACCCCACACCCTCTGCCTCTATTGGGAAGTTACAAAGTGTATTCACTTGTAAAAACTCCCAGGGCTCTGTGATCACCCATACAGGCAGGGCCTTTGGTGGGAAAATTGGTTTTCTGTCACAGATGGGGCTTCTCACACATCAGAAAGAAGCCTCGGGGACCAAGGCAGCACCATCAGTGACCCCTCAGGAACAGTCTTAGGTTGGCAGAGGGCAGCATCCAGCTCAGGAGGCCTGTGGCCACTATAAGGTCCGGTCAGGCGGACTTTTCCAGAAACAGCCAGCAGCACTGAGATGCTCTCTCTGAGGTTGAGGCCAAGGGACAGCCTGGGCTCCCTTCCACAGGCGCTTCTAGAAAGGCAGAGCCCTGTGGTTCTGTGTGTTTCACATCCAGGGGCCTTGGGAGCATGGAGGGTTTAACAGAGGCATGCAAGGCTTACAACAGGAGAGCATGGCCAGGAGGCCAGACAGCGCCTCAGCAGGGATGGAGATGTGGGGCCCAGACCTGTTCCAGCTGCATGGCTCTAGGCAAGGTCTTCCCCTCACTAGGCCTCAGTTTCCTTCTCTGTAAGATGGAGATGATGACACCTACTGTATAGGGTTGCTGTGTGATTAAGACTGAGTGGGGGCCAGGAGGAGCTCCCTGAAGAGACCAGGAAGGACCAGCCCCCATGTGTGTGGGGTCAGGCCCAGGGAGGAGTCTAGGGTGGGGATGCCCAGGGGGACATGTCCCTGAGGACACCCAGCAGGGCCTGGGTGGGGGCTAGCTGGACAAGGGACAGGGCCCAATTTAGTGGCCTGTGGAGTGCAGAAGGCCTAAGGTGCGGACCCCGGGATCAGCATAGCCAGAGCTGGCAAGAGGACACTGTCCAGCTAGGGCAGCTCCTGGGAGGCTTGTGGCAAGGGCTAGAACTGCACCTGTGATGGGGGCTGAGGACCTGACCTGGGTCCCCCAGGGCCTGAACTCTCAAGACTTTGGAATGGCCTCACTCTCTCTCTCCTGGGACCCCAGTTGTCCCCAGGCCATCACTCTGATGGCCAAACTCTCAGCGACCGTGAGACTGGTGGCCAGAAGCACTTAAACACCAGTTTTTAGAAGTGCCCTGTTTTCCTTCCATCAGCGAGGCCCTGGCTGTGAGCCCCATGTGGAGTGGCCATTTTCACACCATCTGGGAATCAGCAGATGGGCCGTCTCCACCCGAGGCAGTCTGGAGGCTGAGCCAAGGAAGCCAGCAACTTACCTCCTACCTGGCAGGTGGGGGCCAGCTCCCAGCTATGTTCAGAGCCGGGGGCCAAAAAAGGCTTCCCAGAGCAGGAGGCCATCCCAGGGGACAAGCCGCCTCCCACCAGGTGGAGATGCAGGGAAAGCACTCCAGGCAGAGAGAACAGAGAGCCAAGAGATGAAGATGGAAAGGAAGCCAGAAAGCTCGGGGATGGATGGGGGCGCAGAGTGACCAAATGGCGGAAGTTGGCCCTAGCCACAGAGGACCTGATGCTGGGCCTGGGAGTCCATCCTCAACCAGTGGAAGCCTGGAGAGGCCAGGACAGCCCTGAGCGAAGGCTGCATGAAAGCCACAGGTTGGAGGCTGAAGAGAGGCCTGAGACCCGCGCTGCCCCTCTGCTCCTCCGCCGCCCACAGGGTCCTCCCTCCTGCCTTGGACAGGCTGCTCTCTTGCCTACAGGGCCATCCCCCTACCACATGCACACACTCGTTAGGTCCTAATCGCCAACGTTGCTGTCCCCACAGTGCACCCTGCTGGCTGGAAGCTGGCACAGCCTCCAGCTCTCCGCCCCGCCTTTCTACTGTGCAGTGTGTGCATTTACAGCATTATCGTTCTCACTCGACTTCCTTGCTTTGATTTTGCACAAATTTTCCAGGCACAGGCTGGAGATTCAGAGGCACAGGGATTAGACCCTTTTCCTCACTGTACAAGGGAAGAGTTGTGTAGACCCCACATTAACAACAGGTCATGTCACATGCAACAGTTAGAATACATGTGGTGGGAACAGGGACAGATGGCCTGACTCTGGGAAGGAGAGAACCCTAGAAGGCTTTCTGGAAGAGGAAGCATCTGAGCTAAAGATGGACAAAGAAGGGAAGGATGTGCCAGCAGGTAGGCAGTGTGTGCAAAGGTTCAGAAGTGTGGAGCTTTGTGCATCATTGCTGGGGCCAAGAGTGAAATGTATGTGGGGATGAGGGGACAGTGGTGGGGCGGAGATGGGGGCTGGCAGAGACCAGGCATCCCTGGTCCCAGCGTCCCTACCAACCGGATTCCTCACCACTTCCACACAGAGGGGAGCTAGGTGAGGCTTTGTTGAGTGGGTGGTGGATGGACAGGTGAAGGGATGTGTGTATCTGGCCCTTTGCAGACTCTGCAGGGGACCTGAAGGTCCCTGAGTGCCCCCACCCTCTGGACGCACCCTGGTGTAATTTGGCTTCTCTCCAGCTTTACTTTTGTCTGCAGAGGCTACAGCAATGCAGGAAGCTCAAAGAGCCTTCAAGGCTCTGCCAGTTACAAATGACAGGAACTCAATTCAAGCTGGCTTAATAAAGGAAAGATGAAAGTATTGATTAGCTCACAAACTGACATCCAGGGGTAGTTTGAGCTCCAGGCCCTCACCCCTGGCTTTCTCTCTGTCTCTCAGCTCTACTTTCCTCTCTGTTGGCTTTTTCTCAAGCCACATGGTGGCCCCTGGGAGCTCCAGGCTTAGGCCTGTCAGGAGAAAAGAGCCCTTTTCCCCTAAATCCCCACCGTTAAGTCCCAGGCAAGATGCTCATGGCTCGGTTTGGGTCTCAGGGTCATCGCTGACCCCATCACCGTGGCAGAGGGAATTCTGTCACATGCCCACCCCAGCAGCCCACCCAGACCCCATGGATGGGGATTCTGGGCAGCAGACAACACACAGATGCCTTTTCCCTCCCCCTCCCCCAGCCCCAGGCCACATGGACTGAACCCAGACCCTGGGCTCTGGCAGGCTTTGTTTGCTTGTTACTGAATAATGCACCGGGGTCCTAAGACGTAGAGGAAGGGCCGTCCCCATGTGTAACCTGTGTTCTCTCTCTCTCTGTTGTTTTCCAGGGACCCCTGGGTCTGGATGGCAAGCCTGTAAGTAATGACAGGGCAATTCCAGGTGGTCCTGGGCTGGAGCTGCCACTATGGAGCTGGGAGTGACTGCTGGGCACTGGAGGGAAGCAGCCACTGGGAACTTGGTTCAGCACAGAGAGAAGCATTTTGGGTGTCAGACTTGAGTTTAAGTCTAGCTCCACCACCTGCTGATGGTGACCAAGGGGAGGCCTCCTCACCTCCCAAGCCTGAGGCTTCTTGTCTGTCAAGTGTGTGCATGAACACCCCCCGCCCCCAGCATAGGGATGCCGTGGGCCTATGGAGAACTGTGGACAGCACAGTCCCTGGGGTCTAGTCAGCCCTCAAAGAATGCGAGACCCTCCCAGCAGGCCCCAGGCACGGTGTCCTCACTACATTCTCAAGACTGCCCTAGCGGGCATCAAGCTGAGTTCTCAACATCTGTGCCAGGAGCCTGTGGTCCCAGGCATCCTCAGCAGATGGGCAGAACATGCAGGGAGACATGAGTACAATTAAATAAGTAATTTGAGGTGGATGGATGGATGATGGCTAGATAGATGGGTGGATGAATGGATTGGTGAGTGAATGGGTGGGCAGATGGATGGATGGATGGATGGATGGACAGAAAATGAATGGGTGGATGGGTGGGTGGGTGAGTGGATGGATGGATGAATGGATTGGTGAATGGATAGGTGGGTGGGTGGGTGGGTGGATGGATGGTTGGGTGGATGGATGGATGGATGGATGGATGGATGGATGGATGGGTGGATGACTCATATAGGGATGACCAGATGGAGCCCATACTCTAAGGAGCTCCTTCCATTAAAGAAGAGAATGCTTTTTTTTTTTTTGGAGAAATAAGAAAGAAAAAAGAAAAGAATGCCTCTGAGAGAAAAATCTCTGTCTACTGCCTGCCTTGTAGATTCCAGAAAGATGGCAGTGGTCTCCCACTGACATCGACAGGGCAGGTGCTGAGCAGTAGGGGACCATGTGTGCCCTCTGGGAGGAGTGGCCAGTGCATGTGCCCCTTTCTCTGCTGCAAGGATGCCAGTGGGCCCTTGCTGGTCACCCCCAAGTTCCCCCTCTCCCTCAGGCTGAGGACTGAGTTGTGGAGCTTCCTTCTACCAGCCAGGGCAGCTCTCATTGAGGGCTGACAGCTCGTGGTGATTTTCCACTCAGCCGGCCACAGCTCTGCTCAGCATCACGGGCCCTTCTGCCCTCAGAAGTATAGGGAAGCCGGAAGGGGGACCAGCCTAGGCCCCTCACTCAGGCCTGTTCTTTCTCCACCTTCCTTCTCTAGGGACTTCCTGGCCCAAAAGGGGAAAAGGTAAGTGATGCCAGAAGCTGTGCAGATGCAGTAGGCAGGTGAAGGAGGCCAGAATCTGCGTCTGAAGCCCGGTTCCAGGGTGCCCTCGAGCACGTCACAGCCCCTCCTAGAACCTCAGTTTCCCCATCTATAAGGTGGGAATCGCAATGCCTACCTTCTAAAATGGTTCCAAGGCTTACATTTGACAATATAGCCTGCCCGGAGAGTTGAGTCTGAGTTCTCCTGGGACCAAAGCATAACCCAACTCAGAGGCCCAGTGTGCCCAGAATAACGAGTGTCCAGAGAACTTCATGGTGAAGAGGGGGTGCCAAGAGGGCTGGGGATTGAACGAGGGCTGTTGGTGGGATTCTCTGTGGGGAGGATACCCCTCACGGAGGCATGGCAGAGAGCTATCTCTGCAGCCCCTTGGGTGAAAGGCTTCCCTGGCATCAGGCACTAAAATCCCCTAGAAAATGGGGACAGCCAGTGCCTCAGAAGGGAACAGAAGAGAACTGTGTTACCCATGGTAAAACCTGGGGAGGGATCAGAGCAGGCCTGATTGTGCCAGGGCCAGCTGGGTGCCCCCCACGGCTGGACCATGTCCACCCCTGACCCGGACTTTGGAGATGGGAGTTGAGATCTGCAGATGGGCCTTTGTGTGGCCTAGGCCAAGTTGTTGGGCTCTGTGGGCCTCAGTTTCCCCATTTGTAAATTAAGACCCAGTCTCACAGAGCCGCAAGAGGGATTTCATGAGGTCATGGTCTCAATGTTCTCCTCAATGATGACAGACTAGCGCAGTTGGTAGGTGTCCTGATTACCTTCCCCCTGGCCTTGGCTGATGCCACCGCGTCATAGAAGTGATTCCATCAGGGGCTTTGAAACCAGAGAGAACCGGTGTCTTGGTGTCTATTGCTGCTTAATGCACTGCCCCAAAACTGGGCAGTGGAAAGCAACGTTAACTCATTACTGTCCCTTCTAGAGGACACAGTGGGAGGGGCTGTCTGCTCTACAATGTCCAGGGCCTCAAATGGCCAGGGCTGACCCTAGTTAAGGGAACACCTGGTTTCAAGCCCTGGATCTCCTGGCTGTGTAACCTTGCACAGGTTAAGTGGCCTCACTGTGTCTGTTTCCTCATTGGAAATGGAAATAAAAATAGAGTCTGCCTGCTATTTTCGTTAGAATGAAGTCAGCCCCTGTCTGTGAAGCACTGAGCAGATGCTTGATGGGAAACGTGAAGAAATGATGAAAGCAGTGCTGACACATCTCCCTGTCTCTTGTTCCTAGGGTGCACCAGGAGACTTCGGCCCCCGGGTAAGAACAAGGCATGACCTCCCTCACTGTCCACACGGCTTGTTTTGTTTAATAATAAGGCATAACTGGTGCTGCTTCTGGGTCCCGGCTCCCTGCAGCTCATCACAGAAAGAGGCCATAAGGCAGCCCTTCTTCCCCACCCATAGCACCCAGGCACCTGGGCTAGGAGGCTGCCACCTCCTGGACAGGTGGAGAGTCTCTGGGAGATGTCCAGGTCTTCATGCTTCTCGCTGTGGATGCCAGACAGTGGGGCTGGCACTTGACCCAGACTGGAGACTGACTGTCCTGAGGGCAGGTGGCCCCCCAAAAAGCGGGAAGGCTCTGGGGTCAGCAGAACTGAGCTCAAAGCTCAGCTCTGCCACCTGCCAGCTGAGTGACCCTGAACAAGTCACTTTGCCCTCTGAGACTCAGTTTCTTCAACTGTGAGTGGGGTGACAGCCCCCACCCCAAGAGGTTGTCGTGGGAGTGAAAAGGTAGTGGAAGCGGCAGTGCAGAGAGTGGGGCTGCAGCTTGTGGTTCGGCCTGGCGGAGGGCGCCTGCCCTGCACCTCCACAGTTCTGAGTTGTGAGCAGGAACAGGGAAGGGGGCTGGCCAGGCCAAGCCCCGAGGACACAGCTGCTCTGTGCCAGCCACATGAATCTGATGAGATTGCTCTGCAGTCAAAGAAAGGGCGCTCGTGCTGAATTCTGGCTGCTGAGAAAAATCCTTTTGCTTCCTTCCTGGTGGGTGTGTGGAGCTGATATTCCAAAAGGGGACGCCCTCTCCTCAACAGACTACAAGTCCTGAGGCCCAGGGGTCATGGAAGAGTGGATCTCCTCCCAAGCCCCCCACCCTCCTCATGAATACCCTCCCTATGGTCCCAGTGTCCCAGTCATCAGGACACCACCCCCCAACACACACACACACACACACATACACTTTTTTTTAGTGGCTTAATGGCTGGGCGTGGTGGCTCATGCCTGTAATCCTAACACTTGGAGAGGTCGAGGCAGGCGGATCACCTGAGGTCAGGAGTTCGAGACCAGCCTGACCAACATGGTGAAACCCCATCTCTACTAAAGATACAAAAATTAACTGGGCATGGTGGTTCATGCCTGTGGTCCCAGCTACTCAGGAGGCTGAGGCAAGAGAATTGCTGGAACCTGGGAGGCAGAGGTTGCTGTGAGCCAAGATCTCACACCACTGCACTCTAGCCTAGGCAACAAGAGTGAGACTCCATCTCAAAAAAAAAAAAAAAGGTAGTGGCATAAGACTTCAATTGCCATTATCTCTCATGGCCACTGGGTTAGGGTTAGGCTCCCTCAGGAGGTTGTAGGCAGCCCGGCTGGGAGCCCCCAGTGATGGTGCCATCACATGGCTGCAGGTGGCGTGGATGCTAGTGGGTGCCCAGCTGGTAAGCAGCCATCCTTGAAGAAGGAGTCTACACACCTGATTACCTAACTGCCTTTCTCTGGGATTGGTTAAGTGGCTTTGCCTCCAGGTGTCAAAAGCCTTTTGGTTTTTGAAATCACCTTCCTGCCTTTCTGACCACACAACGTATCTGCTGACTAGATGGTTTTCCCACGGCTCAATCCGGGTTTTATAAGCAGAGACCATCACCTGTACAATCGCCGGATCCTCAAGGTAGACTGGCTAAGTGGGGGTCTGGGCCTGATGGCTTGCTGTGTTGCCCCCAACTCACCCCACATTTGTGGGGTTAGACCTCAGCCATCCAATCCCTGAGGGAGGACCAGGCAGGCTGGCCAAGAAAGAGCCTAAGAGCCTCTCCCAGGACCTGCTCCAGTGTCGGGCCCATTTACTGCCTTAATAAGTAGAGTCCAGGCCAGTAGTTCCCAGCCCAAGGCCCATTATAAAAGGAGCAGTGGGGAGCTAAGGGAGTATCTTCAAATTCTACCTGATTCAGTGCAAAGTAAAACAGGAATTATCCACCACCATCACCACCCATGCCTGGTGACCTAACCAGACTATCAGTTTTCTTGCCTTTTGACTGGAGCTATAACATTTTGATCAGGACCCTGGCCATTCCAGACCCACGGGAAGACCTGAGTAGTGGGTGTTGAGAGCTTCTGCTGATTTTTAAATTGGGAAAGCAAGGGAATTTGTGTTACATGCAGTTTGCTAAAGAGGTGAGCTATTTCAGATCAGGGAACGTCTGGGGATGAAAAGAAGTATCTCAAAGGGACCATTTGCCTTGGCAGTGAGAGGAAGCTCTGCCTTCCCTCGCTCTGTAACCCTGGGCAAGTGACCCTCTGACCACCCCCCAACCCCAGCCATTCCATCTGTAAAATGGGACAATAGGCCGGGCGCGGTGGCTCAAGCCTGTAATCCCAGCACTTTGGGAGGCCGAGGCGGGTGGATCACGAGGTCAGCAGATCGGGACCATCCTGGTCAACATGGTGAAACCCCGTCTCTACTAAAAATACAAAAAATTAGCTGGGCACGGTGGTGCGTGCCTGTAATCCCAGCTACTCGGGAGGCTGAGGCAGGAGAATTGCCTGAACCCAGGAGGCGGAGGTTGCGGTGAGCCGAGATTGCGCCATTGCACTCCAGCCTGGGTAACAAGAGCGAAACTCCGTCTCAAAAAAAAAAAAAAGGGACAATAACAGTGCCCTGGCCCATTCATCACAAAGGTTGAATAAGATCATCTTCGGCCAGGCGCAGTGGCTCACACCTGTAATCCCAGCACTTTAGGAGGCCGAGGCGGGTGGCTCACTTGAGGTCAGGAGTTTGAACAAGCCTGGCCAACATGGTGAAACCCCATCTGTACTCAAAATACAAATAATAATAATAATAATTCCACCTACTCGGGAGGCTGAGGCAGGAGAATCAATTGAACCCAGGAGGTGGAGATTGCAGTGAGCCAAGATTGTGCCACTGCATTCCAGCCTAGGCGACAGAGCAAGAGAGACTCTGTCTTCAATTAAAAAAAAAATTTTTTTTAATTATCTTCAGGATATCATTGCTAGCTTAGTGCTAGGTCTTCCTTTCTTTGTTACAAGAAGGTCGGGAGCCACTGGCATCATGACCTGGTGTTCTTCACTCCTGTGTCCTGTGCCGGTGCAGGGTAGACCCCACTGGGGCAGTGGTAGGTGCCAGTTGCAGTGATCTTCCTTCCTTTTGGGTTGGGCCATGAGGTGGGGCTCTGGCTGCCTGAGGTCTGACCCAGTACTAACATCAGGTTCTAAAGGTGGGGATTTAGTGCTGTATGAGAGAAACTGTGTGGCCCTTCATCATCCTTTTTTTTAATTTTATTTTGAGATAATTGTAGATTTACATGTGGTTGTAGTAAATAACACCTGTGTACCCTTCCTCCAGTCTCCCCCAGTGGTAACATCTTGCACCTCTGTAGTACAGTCTCACAACAGGAAATTAACATTGACACGATCCACCGACCTCATTCAGATGCCCCCAGCTATACACACACTTGTTTGTGTGTTTAGTTCTATGCAATTTTAACACACTTGTAGATTTGTGTAAGTACACAAAGGTCCCTCATGCTGTTCTTTTGTAGTTACAGTCGCCTTCATCCTCATCCCTAATGCCTGGTAACCATTATGGGTTCTCCATCTCTATAAGTTTGCCATGTCAAGAGTGTTATGTAGATACAACCACACAATATTAAGCTTTTGAGATGGACTTTTGCACTCAGCATAATCCTCTTGAGATGCATCTGAGGTGCTGCATGTGTCATGGCCTGTTCCTTTTAGTTGATTGCTGAGTTGTGTTCCATGATGTGGATGTACCCCAGCTCCTTAACCTTCCACCTACCGAAAGACTTTTGGATTGGTTTCCAGTTTGGAGCTGTTACTAATTAAGCAGCTGTGAACAAGGATAAATGCCCAAGAGTGCACCTCCATACTTAAAATGAAGTGGGAGTTGACCAACCAGGAAGGTCCTTCAGGAGACACTCAGTCCCCATTCTACAAAGGGGGGCATCTGGGCACACATGCTTTCTCCCACATCTAGCATGTGCCATCTCTTGCCTAAACACCGTATCTGGGCTTTCAGGTGCTAGAGAGCTGGTACATGGCATGTAAAAAATCCTGTAGGGCCTCTTACACCAAGGTAAGGGGACCTGTTCCTTCATGCAGTCCCCAAGAAGTGGCAAGAGGCCCAATAACAATGTCTTCCCCTTTGAGCCTGCCCCAAGGGCTGGGGAAGGGGATGGGGTGGGGCTGCCTGTCTGAGGGAGCCTCTCTCTGGAGGCTGGACCCCCTCCCACTCAGAGTCATGCCAAGCCCCATCTCTTCCAGGGAGACCAAGGGCAAGATGGAGCTGCTGGGCCCCCAGGGCCCCCTGGACCTCCTGGGGCCCGGGGCCCTCCTGGTGACACTGGGAAAGATGGCCCCAGGGGAGCACAAGGCCCAGCGGTAAGAGAGGGCTTGGAGTTGGACCTCCCAGGACTTGATCAAAACCTCAAACCCTGATTCCAGAACCAGCCCCAACCCCATCCCCATCTCTAGTGCAGACCCCACGACAGCCTTAACCCCAATCCAGACACTTAACCAGGGCCCTAACTCCAACCAAGATCCAACCTCAATTCAGATCCTGCTGCTGACCCCAGACCCAAACCCAGCCCTAATCTCAACCCAGACCCTTACCCGAATGGAACCTTAAATCTGACACTAACTGGGTCTCTGACTTCAAACTCATTCCCAAATCCTGATCTACACCCTCAATTCAGACCCTAAGTCTGACCTCTACAGACTCTGACCCTGACTCCAAGCCCAACTCTAACCTCAAATAGACCCAGAGACCCTAACCTGACCTTAGTTGCAATCCCAGTTCCAATCCTGACTCGACTCTGAGCCTGAGATGCTTATGTGGGCACTGTCTCTGCAGACCTTTATCAGCCCCTACCCCCTTCTCCCCCAGTAGTATCTCAGCTTCAGCTTTCCTCCCAGGGTCTCCAGAGCCTGGAGGCCAGGCCCCATCCTGCCACCCCTTCCCTAACCCAGAAACTCCAGCCTGTCCTTCCCTCCAGTGTGGAGCCCATGCCACCACCAGACTGCCACCAGGGTACCCCCCAGTCAGATGGGTCCCCCCACCACACTGCTGCCAGGTCCCCCCAGGACAGCTGCTCAGTTGGCTCATTCATTACTTGTCATGCCAGGCCAGTGGCTTCCTGAGCCTAACATTCTCATCTGAGGAGTGGGGATAGTGATACCCACTCTTCTGGTTTGGCAAGGATAAAATGAAATAATGTACTTAGAGCCCCAGCCTGGGGTCTGGCCTGAGATTGGGCTCAGTTCAGGGTGACAACCTGCATCCCTCATTACTGTCCCCTTACACTTCCTCAGGGCCCCAAAGGAGAGCCGGGACAAGATGGCGAGATGGTCAGTATTCAGGGCATTCCAGAGGCCTGGGCTGGTAGGACTGTGGTTGCCAGACCCGGTAGCCCCTTTCTCACACATGCCGACAGCAAGGTCGTGTGTGTGTGTGTGTGTGCATGTATGTGCGTGCCTCTGCGTGTACATGTCTGCATGTGTGTGCACCTTCCCCTCCCCCCGCCAGGCAAGGCACCAGCCCAGGCGGAATTCCAGTAGCTCCACATTCCTGTGCAGAGGCCGCAGTCCACTTGCCACCGCCTGAGTCCTAACGCAGAAGCTGTCCCAGGCTTGAGGAGTCAGGCCCAGGGTGGCAGCTCCAGCCTGCTTCTGACAACAACCCTGCCTCCTACTTTCCGGGATTGGTGTCCCCTTTTACAAAGCCAGGATGCTAAGAAGGACAGGCGCAGGAACAGCCTCCAGTATGACATTTAACACCTTCTCTCATTCCAGGGCCAGAAGGGATCCCCAGGGCCCAAGGTGAGTGCTCCTCATTCCCCATGCCCCTCCCCAGATCTTGTGGGATGGATTCCCCCACGACCACTTCCTTTCTCTTGCCCCCCACACCTGCAATGAAGTCAAGGCAGCAGAGTCAGGAGACCAAATTCCCAGACCTTGGACAAGTTACTGCATCTCTCTGGGCCTCAGTTTACTCATCTGTTCTATGAGGGCACAGTAAACGTTTCCTGCCTTTTTCACACAGATGAAAGGGTTGAATCATAAAACATGTTAGGAAGGTTTTTAGTTTCAAATAGATTTTCCTTTATTTTTTATTTTTTTGAGACAGAGTCTCACTGTCACGCAGGCTGGAATGCAGTAGCACAATCATGGCTCACTGCAACCCCTACCACCTGAGTTCAAGCAATTCTGTCTCAGCCTCCCAAGGAGCTGGGACTGCAGGCATGCACCATCACACCCAGGTAATTTTTTGTATTTTTAGGAGAGATGGGGTTTGACATGTTGGCCAGGCTGGTCTTGAACTCCTGACCTCAGGTGATCTGCCTGCCTCAGCCTCCCAAAGTGCTGGGATTACAGGTATGAGCCACCACACCTGGCCCAAACAGATTCTATTTTTAGAAGAATTTTTGTTTCACAGCAAAACAGAACAGAAAGTACAGAGTTTCCATATGCTCCTGCCCTGGCCCATGCACCCCCTCCCCTGCTATGAACAGCCCCGACTTGTTACAGCTGTTGCACCTGCCCAGCAGATCAGCATCACCGGACGCCGTAGTTTACATTAGGATTCACTCTTGCTGTAGTATCCACCACTGTCGTGTCATGGAGTATTTACCCTGCTCTAAACATTCTGTTATCTGCGTGAACAGCCCTCCTTCTTCCTAGCCCCTGACACCACTGATCTTTTTTCTTTTTTTTGAGATGGAGTCTTGTGTTTGTTGCCCAGGCTGGATTGCAATGGTGCAGTGTCAGTTCACTGCAACTTCCACCTCCCAGGTTCAAGCAATTCTGCCTCAGCCTCCCAAGCAGCTGGGATTACAGGTGCCCACCACCACACCCGGCTAATTTTGTATTTTTAGTAGAGAGAGGGTTTCACCATGTTGGTCATGGCTGGTCTCAAACTCCTTACCTCAGGTGATCCACTCGCCTCAGCCTTCCAAAGTGCTGGGATTAGAGGCGTGAGCCACTGTACCCGGCCACCACTGATTTTTTTTCACTATCTCCATAATTTTGCCTTTCCCAAAGTGTCATCTAGTCAGAATCACACAGTGAGTGGCCTTATCAGATCAGCTTCTTTCACTTAGTAATACACATTGACATTTCCTCCATGTCTTTTCATGGCTTGACAGCTCATTCTTTTTTAGCACTGAATAATAGTCCATGTCTGGCCGGGCACGGTGGATCCTGCCTATAATCCCAGCACTTTGGGAGGCTGAGGCAGGCAGATCACGAGGTTAGGAGTTCAAGACCAGCCTGGCCAATATGGCAATACCCCGTCTCTATTAAAAATGCAATAATTAGCCGGGTGTGGTGGCACACGCCTGTAGTCCCAGCTACTCGGGAGACTGAGGCAGGAGAATCACCTGAACCGGGGAGGTGGAAGTTGCTCGTGAGGTTGCAGTGAGCCAAGATTGTGCCTCTGAACTCCAGCCTGGGTGACAGAGCGAGACTCCATTTCAATTGTCGGTGTCTGGATTTATTATTTATTTAATGATCAGCCACAGTTTATTTACCCACTCACCTACTGAAGGACATGTTCACTGCTTCCAGGTTTTGGCAGTTTTGGGTAAAGCTGCTGTCAGCATCCATGTGTGGGTTTTTATGTGGATGTAGTTTTCCACCATGTTAGCTTGTCCAGCCCTCTGCAGATGTCAGCTCTTTCTTTTCTGCCCTCCTTGGGCAGGGCCTGGGTGGGGAGGCAGACTGTGGTCCTCCCTGCCGGAGACAGAGCCCCTGGCCTGAGGAGGAAGGATGGGAAAGAGCTTGCTTAGCCAGTGCTTCGTCCTCCAAAACCCTCTGGGACTGCAGGAGTCACCCCCACTTTGAAGAAGAGTGCCTTGCCCAGGGTTGTTGAGCTTGGGAGTGAGTGGCTCAGAAGTGGAGTTCAAGACTGTCATCCCCACCTTTCTGCAGCATTCGGGGGTCTCTGGGCTGGCCCTAGGCATGGGTCATCAGTGCCACTTCTACCTGAGGAACAAGAGGCCTGGGGTCCGGGCCATGCTCCAATGGCTCTGACCTTGCTCTTGAACCCCATTGCCTCCCCTAGGGTGAGCCTGGAGCACTTGGAAAGAAGGTGAGAGGGACTGATGGAGGAGCTTCTGGGGCAGTGTTGGGAAGTGGCTGGAGAGAAGGGCAGGGGCTGGGGGCAGGATGGGGATACGAATGGGAGCCAACCCACAGGGAAGGCAGCCTTTTCTTCACCAGACCTGGGCCCTCACTGCGGGTGGCTGCCCTGTCCTTGCTCTCCGTGAGGCCAGAATTCATTTTATTCATTCATTTATTCACTCATTATTTCCCCTGCTCAAACACATCAAATTCATGCCCACTTCAGGGCTGGGGGCATTAGTTCTCAAAGTGTGGTCCTGGGGCCCACCCCGGACCCACTGAATCAGAGACTCTGGGGTGGAGCTGGAGTTTGTTTGACCAGATGCTGGTGCTGCTGATGTGAGCTCAAGCTTGAAACCACTGAATGAGCATGATCTTCCCCGGCCTTTTCTCCTGGGCCACCCTCCTCATACACCTCATTCAGGTCTCAGTAAAACCCTCCCCCATGGCAGCAGGCGCACTGGCTCACCCCTGCAATCCCAGCACTTTGGGAGGCCAAGGTGGAAGGATCACTTGAGATCAGGAGTTCAAGTCCAGCCTGGCCAACATGGCAAAACCACGTCTCTACAAAAAATAAGGAAATAAATAAGCCAGGCATGGTGGTGAGCACCTGTAAGCCCAGCTACCCTGGAGGCTGAGGCAGGAGAATCACTTGAACCCAGGAGGTGGAGGTTGCAGTGAGCCAAAATTGAGCCACTGCACTCCAGCCTGCTGGGTGACAGGGTGAGACTCATCTCCAAAAAAAAGAAGACCAGCCTGGACAATACAGCAAGACCTCATCTCTACTAAAAATAAAAAAAATTAGCCAGGTGCAGTGGCATGCATCTGTAGTCCCGGCTACTTGGAAGGCTGAGGTGGGAAGATCGTTTGATCCCGGAAGTCAAGGCTGCAGTAAGCTATGATAGTGCCACTGCACTCCAGCCTGGATAACAGAGCAAGACCCTGTCTCAAAAACCAAAAAAACCTCTCCCATCTTCCAGGAGACTTTCCCTGGCCACCTGCTGAAACAAGCCCTCCCTGCAGTCCCTCTCCGCCATGCCATCCTCTTCTCTTTTTTTTTTTTTTTTTTTTTGTTGCTGTTTTTTAACTAACTTGGATTTCTATAGGATTTTTTTTAAGAAATCTGAGATCCTGGGGAAGAGAAGAGGAAATGTCAGTTCACTAAGACCTCAGGACACTTTCCAAGTGCCAGTCGGCCCCATCCCTTTGTCAGGACTCTGGCTCTCACCAGACACTGTGGGTAGGAGCTCACCCTGGTCTTGCCCTTCAGCAGGCACTAGGGCTTCTGCTGTTTCTGGTCTCGGGGTGTTTCTCACCTGAGCCCACATCTTCACAAATAATCTTCATTATACACTCTTCACTTAAATCCTTTGAAGTGTCATCTTCTTTTTTTTTGGGGGGAAAAAGAGAAAAAGAAGGGGAAAAAAAGAAAAAGAGGGAAAAAGGAATATTACTTCATTCCTAAAATAGGTTTCAATAATGGCCGATCAATATTTTGAGTGTTTAAAGTGGTTAATGCATATTTTATGTGTTTAAAATGTAGACCTCTGTTGTGTTTATTTGTTCTGGCTCTGAGTTCAAGTCCTGGATATCTTATCAATTTGTTGTCTCGTTGAATCTAAATCTCATTATGTGTCTTATGTATCTGGGTGTTAAGATCTCTTATTGTTACATTAATCCTTTTACCCTTGCATCCTTGTAGCTTTGAAATCTATTTTATTAAGTGTGAGAATTGCAACTCCTGCTTTTTATTTATTTATTTTTGCTCTCCATTTGGTTGGTGAGCTTTTTTCCATCCCCTTGTTTTGAGTCTTTGTATATCTTTAGATATATCGTTAGATTTTGTGGATAATGAATATTTTGTGTGTTTAAAATGGAGAGCCCTGTTGAGTTTATTTGTTCTGGATCTTAGTTCCAGTCCCGGATATCGTTATCAATTTTCTGTCTCATTGAATCTAAATCTCATTATGGGTCTTATGTATCTGGGTGTTAAGATCTCTTATTATTACATTAATCCTTTTATCCTTGTATCCTTGTAGCTTTGAAATCTATTTTGTCAAATGTGAAAATTGCAACTCCTGCTTATTTATTTATTTTTGCTCTCCATTTGGTTGGTAGGTTTTTTTTTTTTCCAACCCTTTATTTTGAGTCTATGTATATCTTTGGATATACCATTAGATTTTGTCTGTATCTTTTGATTGGGAGGTTTGGTCGATTTAAATTTATGGTTGCTGCCGTTTGATATTAACTGGCTATTTTGTCCTTTCATTGATAAAAATTCTTCTTTATGTTAATGCTCTTTACTTTTTGGTGTATTTTTAGAAAGGGTCATACTGGTTGTTCCTTTCTGTGTATAGTGCTTCTTTTAGAAGTTCTTGTAAAGCAGGCCTGGTGGTAATAAAATCTCTGAGTACTTGCTTGTTCCTAAAAAATTTTATTTTTCCTTCAAATGTAAAGCTTAAATTGGCGGGATATGAAATTCTGGGCTGAAAGTTCTGTTGATTAAGTATATTGAATATTGGCCCCCACTCTCTTCTAGCTTGTAGGGTTTCCATTGAGAGATCTGCTGTAAGCCTAATAGGCTTACCTTTATGGGTAACTTGATCTTTCTCTCTGGCTGCCCTTAATATTTTCTCCTTCGTTTCGATCTTGGTGAATCTGACGATTATGTGCCTTGGGGTTGGTCTTCTTGAGGAATATCTTTGTGGTGTTCTCTGTATTGCCTGGGGTTGAATAGTGTCCTGCTTTGCTAAATTAGGAAAATTTTCCTGGATAATGTCCTGGAGAGTATTTTCCAGCTTGACTTCATTCTCTCCGTCACATTCAGGTACACCAATCAAGCGTATATTAGGTCTTTTCACATAGTCCCATATTGCTTGGAGACTTTGCTCATTCCTTTTTATCCTTTTTTCTCTATTCTTGTCTTGTTGTGTTGTTTCATTAAGTTGATCTTCGACCTCTGATACCCTTTCTTCTGCTTGATCCATTCGGCTGTTTAAGCTTGTACATGTTTCACTAAGTTCTCGTGTTGTATTTTTCAACTCCATAAGTTCATTTGTATTCCTCTCTATATTGTCTATTCTTTTCAACATTTCATCTAATCTTTTTTCCAAGTTCTTAGTTTCTTTACATTGGGTTAGAACAAGTTCCTTTAACTCCCAGAAGTTTCTTATCATCCACCTTTTAAAGCCTACTTCAGATAATGGAACACAGTCCTTTTCCATCAGGGCTTGTTCCGTTACTGATGAGTCCTTTTCCATCAGGGCTTGTTCTGCTGCTGATGAGTCCTTTTCCATCAGGGCTTGTTCTGTTGCTGATGGGTTCTGATTTTGAGTATACTCGGCCTTCTTAGGCTGTTTTTTTCCCGTCATTGTAGATGAACTGCCTTTCTAATTAGTTTTCTGAGTCGACGTCCGACTTATTGATTCCCAGTGTTGGGATCCGAGCAACCCACTGTGGCAGCCTAAATAGCAGCGGTAAGACTGATGGTGCTCTTCTGCCCGGGAATCTCTGGTCTGGCTTCCTTCTTGAGTCCGCAACAAGCGGCTCTGACTTCCCGGAGCTCCAAACTCCGGTCAGTAGGGGAAGCAGTCCCGTTGGCTCTGCATGAAGAGCTGCTGCGCCGAGACGCCGGCAAAACCACTGCGGCGGCCACAAGAGTCGTGCTGGCGACCCGTGGGGCTCCTCCACTGGGAATCGGCTGATCGGTGAGTGACGAAAATTCGTCTAAAAGTGTGGCGTCGTCTCGTTCTCTGGGCTTTCACTGGGAGCTACAATCCTGAGCTGTTAGTGGTCGGCCATCTTGGATCAATCTCCCATCCTCTTCTCTTATTTGCATGTATATATACTTTTTAGGACAGGATCTCACTCAAGCTATGATGGATGCAGTGGCACAATCACAGCTCCCTGCAGCCTCAGGTGGTTCTCCTACCTCAGCCTCTCAAATAGCTGGGACTACAGGCGTGTGCCACCATGTCCAGCTAATTTTTTTATTTTCTGGTTTTTGTAGAGATGGAGTCTTGTTCTGTTGCCCAGGCTGGAGTGTAGTGGCTATTCACAAGTGCTATCATGGTGCACTACAGCCTCAAACTCCTAGGCTCAAGCAGTCTTCCCACCTTGGCCTACCAGAGTGCTGGGAGTAAGGCATGGGCCACTGTGCCAGGAAACTTTGTATTTATTTGAACACTTCTTTTCCCTCGGCCTCCTCTGACTCCACCTGGGCAGGGACCTCAGCTGCCTGGCCCACACGGAGAATAAATGGATGAATGTATCCTCATTCACTGTCCATCCGTTCTTCCTGCAAATGCCTGTTGAGGCTTTCCCTGGACCAGCCCTGAGCTGGTGGGGACAGGGGACACACACAGATGGGTCCCTACCCCACCCCTGCTCTGGAGGGGCAAGGAGGGTAGGGAGGTGCTGCCTGGTACAGTGTGCCAGCACAGATGCCAGGAGCAGACTGGTATGTTGGGAAGTCGAGAGAACGGAGGGGCCCACTGGCCACCTGAGGGTCTGACCGGCAAGCCCCAGCTATCCTCTCCTCAGGGTGATGATGGGACACCAGGCCAGCCTGGACCACGAGGACTCCCTGGACCACCAGGGCCCAAGGTGAATATCTGCCCCTCCCCTTGCAGCCCCCTGCCCCACCTCCCATGGTTCCCATCTGCTTGGTGAAGCCCCTACCCTGGACCTTTGGCACCATGAGGACCTGGGCCACTGCCTGGCACAGGCCAGAGAGAGGCAGAGGAAGGCCCCGGCCCCACCCCACAACAGGCCTGGCGTCTCACCCAGGCCGTGTTCCTTCCTCACCTCAAGTCCTCTTGTTTCCATCTCAGGGTTCCTCACTCTGCCCTGTCTCCGAGCCAGGAACTGGGTATCATCCTCATGCCTTGCTCCCCCAACCCCTTGCAGTGGCCACCAAATCCTGGCCAGCCAATCTCCAAAATGCCCCTTGAGCCCCTGAGCTGCCCCAAGTAAGTGCCAAGACCCACACCAGAAGGTGGTGGCTGTGGTCCTGAATCCTCTGGGCTGGGGAGAGCCCTTCAGTCCATCCACCAAACCCCCCATGGACTCAGTAATGTTCACCAGGAGGCCTAATCACAAGGCTCCAGGCAGCCCCAAGTTCCCTGCACCACGTGCTGTCTCACACTTGCTCTCACTGCAACTGTTTCTATTTCAGGGTGAGCCAGGGAGCATGGGGCCTCAGGGAGAGAATGGCGTGGATGGTGCCCCAGGACCAAAGGTAACGTGAGAGCTTGCTGCTCTGGTGCCTGTGGGCCCCGCTTAGACCATCACCCAGTCAGGAGTGGGAGATGTGGTTTCACCTCTAATTTGCCATTTTAAGTGGGGATTCCCAGGAGGGCCTAACCTGGGGTCTCCTTCAGTGCTGTTGGAAGCTGGTATGGGGGCAGCAGTGGTGAATCTGGGTGAGTGGCAAGGCCTCCACTAGGGCCCAGCTTTGTGGCCAACTCACCATGTAGCCTCAGGCTCCTGGACACCATCGTGTCCTATATACTCGATCCTATACAAAGCGATGTCAGAGGAGGATCTCGGAGGCCCCTCTAGGAGCCCCATTCGTAGGGTGCTGTTCTCATACATTCTGCTCTTAGGGCTCCAGCACTTGGGCCCTGGGCCCTTCTGGGATGAGGGACTGGAGGCAGGGTCATGGGAGGGTGTGTTTTGGCTTCACACCTGCACCTCTGGCTGCAACCACGTGTCTCCACAGGGGGAGCCTGGCCACCAAGGTGCGGACGGAGCTGCAGGGCCCCGGGTAAGCCACCACCTCTCAGGCAAGGCCTCAGGGATGGGAACTAGGGGTCCTGTAGCTTCAGAAGTCCCTGTCCCCAAAGAGACCCCAGAGGACCCTGGAGCTACAGGAACTGGGAGTATTTTACTTTTTGAAATAATTTATTCATGATTTTTGGAAATTCATAATACATGCTTTTTTGGGTAAAATGCTCAAATAAGGAGGTATAAAAATAAGAGTGCTGACTTGCTATTATGAAGCCAGATCTCTCTCGGTCCCCTCATGAGCACATGCCCATCTAAACTCCTTTCTTTATATATTCAGACACTGGTCCTCTGTTGTCCTATGCCTGATCCTACCGTGGTGGGCGGGGCCTTGCCTTTTCCCCACCCCACAGGGAGGTTTGTCCCTGCCCGCAGGAGCACAGCACTCCAGCCCACCCCAGATCTTTTGTGACCAGCCCCTATCAGCATGCCTTACCTTTAAGGTGACATCCGGGATCCTGGCCTCAGCTCTGTCCCCTCATGCTTCCAGAAGCTGACTTCTTCCTGTTAAATCTTCAGATCCAAAAAAATGGATCTGAGCCCCTGCCTGGCTGTGCAGGTGGTGGGGAGCTGGAGGGGGTTGGATTAGGCCACCAGTGAGTCAGGCAGTTCTGGGCAGGCTGTGATCAGGAGGGGGCTGCAAATGAGGCCCAGGCAAGGGTCTCTACCCTGCACAAGTGGTTGGCTTGGGCCTGAAACAAAGTGCTCCCAGCAAAAAGCAGCCTGGGTGGGGAAGTGAGGTTCACAACAGAAGGGCTGGCCAGTGGCCGTGCATGCGGTGTGAGTGTGCAGTGTAAATGTACAGTGAGCATGCTGTGGGAGTGTGCAGTGGGAGTGTGCAGTACAGTGTAAGCCTGCACTGTGAGTGTGCAGTGTGTGCAGTGTGAATGTGTGAGCATGCAGTGGGAGTGTGCAGTGTAATGTGCAGTGTGAGTGTGCAGTGTGAGTGTGCACTGTGAGCATGCAGTGTGAGTATGCAGTGTTAGTGTGCAGTGTGAGCATGCAGTGCGAATGTGCAGTGTGAGTATGCAGTGTTAGTGTGCGGTGTGAATGTGCAGTGTGAGTGTGCAGTGTAATGTGCAGTGTGAGTGTGCAGTGTGAGTGTGCACTGTGAGCATGCAGTGTGAGTATGCAGTGTTAGTGTGCAGTGTGAGCATGCAGTGCGAATGTGCAGTGTGAGTATGCAGTGTTAGTGTGCGGTGTGAATGTGCAGTGTGAGTGTGCACTGTGAGCATGAGTGTAAGTGTGTAGTGAGCGTGCAGTGTGAGCATGCAGTGCAAATGTGCAGTGTGAGTATGCAGTGTTAGTGTGCGGTGTGAATGTGCAGTGTGAGCGTGCAGTGTGAGCATGCAGCATGGGCACAGGCATGCTTACATGTGCCTGTAACCAGGCAGGAATAGGCTGTGGGTGCATGGTGTGTGCAGCCTTTACCAGAGGCTGGGAAATGGAGGCACCAGGGCCAGATCCCACCTGTGTTTTGGAGGCTTTGGGTTTTTCTCTTTGTTGCCAACATTTAAAAATCTGAAGAACGTTACATCAAAATCAGGCTTTCTGGGCAGGCACAGTGGCTCATGCCTGTAATCCCAGCACTTTGGGAGGCCAAGGCAGGTGGATGACAAGGTCAAGGGATCGAGACCATCCTGGCCAACATAGTGAAACCGCATCTCTACTAAAATACAAAAATTAGCCAGGCCCAGTAGCGCATGCCTGTAATCCCAGCTACTCGGGAGGCTGAGGCAGGAGAATTGCTTGAAGCCGGGAGGCAGAAGTTGCAGTGAGCCGAGATCACGCCACTGCACTCCAGCCTGGTGCCTGGCGAAAGAGCGAGACTCTGTCTCAAAGAAAAAAAAATCACTCATGTTCAAAATCAGGCTTTCCATTTTCCCCTGAGAATGCAGGGATCGGGCCTGAATGCCCACATGGAGGCAATTATAGCCACCCCCAGACCAGGCAGAAACAGGTCCCTCAGACGGCCCCAGGGCCTGCCTCCCCTTCGCTCCCTTGCTGGGATCCACACTGGGGAGGGGCATGCGTGTGGCCTGGGTGACAAGGTTCTCCCATTGCTTCCTCTCTGGGTATGATGCAGGGACAGCTGCCACTTCACCCCCAACTTAGATCTTCCCTGAAATTCTTATTCTTCTTCCTGCCTCAGGGCGCCCCAGGCCTCAAGGGAGAGCAGGGAGACACTGTGGTGATCGACTATGATGGCAGAATCTTGGATGCCCTCAAGGTAGTGTTCCTGGTGGGACAAGGATGTGCCTTAGGTGTTCTTTTCCTTAGGGAATAATCTCTCCCTTTGTGAGTAATCCTGCAAGTTTTTACACAAGGGACCAGAGGCAGCTTAGCACAAAGACCCCAGAGTTATTAAGTGACCAATGTGGAAATCAGGGCTGTGTTGAGATTGCATCAGAGAGGGATGGTGAATATGGCTCATGGGGCCCCGAGCTCACCAGGGGCCAAGTCAAAAAGGAAAGGTCCCTGCTCAGGGCAAGAGGCAGAGCATTTCCTGGGGTCTGGTCCCAGCAGTGTCTCCTGGGACTTTCCCAGAGGACACTGGCTGGAGAACTAGGTCTTCTAATGATGTCATGGAGAGGATGAGAGTGGCAAGCCCTGCCTTGGAGCCTTGGGAGATATGTGATCTCCGAGCCCAGTCGCTGGTAAACTTGGGACTTACCACCAGTGGAGAGAGGCACTAGGTGCCAGCTGCTCATGGGTACCCCAGAAGGGAAGTGGGTGAGAAAGGAGTGGTCACCAGAGACCAGATTGGGCAGGGCCCCTGGCCCTACCTGAGCATCAATCCCAGTCATCTCCCACAGGCCTTGGGGAAGTACAAGTTGACAGTAACTGTGGCACCCACCCCAGGCCTGCATGGTGTGGTGTGGTGTGTGGTGTGGCATGGCCCGAAGGGCAGGCACATGCATGGTGTGTCCCAGGCTGACCCAGCCTTATGGGAGAAGCCCTATGAGTGCAGGGAGTTGGGGGAATGGATTTTGTTTGATTTTTGTTTTTGAGACTGAGTTTCACTCTTACCACCCAGGCTGGGCATGATCTCGGCTCACCGCAACCTACTCCTCCTGGGTTCAAGTAATTCTGCCTCAGCCCCCAAGTAGCTGGGACTACAGGCATGCACCACCACACCCAGTTAATTTTTTTAGTTTTAGTAGAGACAGGTTTCACCATGTTGGCCAGGCTGGTCTCAAACTCCTGATCTCAAGTGATCCACCCGCCTTGGCCTCCCAAAGTGCTGAGATTACAGGTGTGAGTCACCGCGCCCAGCCAGAGATGGATTTTCAATACCAGACTGAGATGCTGACTCGATTTGATGGGCAGCAGCCAGCCATAGTCCATGCAGGGGATGATGTTAAAAAATAAAAATAAGGCCGAGAGTGGTGGCTTACTCCGGTAATCCCAGCTGTGGGAGGCCAAGGCGGGCAGATAAGAAATAGAGACCATCCTGGCCAACATGGTGAAATCCCGTCTCTACTAAATATACAAAAATTAGCTGGGTGTGGTGGCGTGCACCTGTAATCCCACCTACTCCAGTGGCTGAGGCAGAAGTACTTGAACCCAGGAGGCAGAGGTTGCAATGAGCCGAGATTACACCACTGCACTCCAGCCTGGCAACAGAGCAAGACTCCGTCTCAAAAAATGATGATAATAAAACATAAAAAATAATTTTAAAAAATAAATAAAAACATATTGGAGAAGGCTAGCTAGGGAATGGTATGGACAGTGAATGAAAGCAAGTGTTGTGGGAGAGCAGGCAGCAAGGGGCACCTAGGCAGAGAGGCCCTGGGCCTGGGCCTAGAGGAGAGGGCATAAGATGGAGGCCAGGGACATCTCAATGGGACACCAACAAGAAGCGGGCAGGATGGGGAGGTGGAAGGGGAGAGAACTAGAACTCGTCAGTCAGGGGCTGTGCAGGGTGTAGTTTTTGGGAAGGGAGGGGAGGAGAGTGCAGAGCTGAGCAGGGGGCAAGCTGAGCCCTGGTGGCAGGCAGCCTGTAGAAAGCCTGGGTCGGGACAGAAGTTTGGGATTGGGGTCAGACCTGAAACCCTGGAGACCTCACCCCTACCTGTGAGACTGAGGAACTCCCAGGCCAGCAGATGGCCGGCAGTGGAGCCAGAGGGTCTGAGAGCTCATAGGACAGTCAGAGAGGGTGGTGCCGGGCCACCACTGGGGAAGTCATTCTTGGCAGGCTTGAATGCTCGCAGGGGATTTAAGCTTGCTTCAAGAGGCAATAGGGAGCCAACGTAAGATCTTGAGCAGGGGAACATCATGAAGAAATCTGTATTGGGGAGACTGACTCTGAGGGCAGAGGGCCCTTCATGGCAGCAGACACTGGTTTCTTGTCAAATGCTGGGTGCCATCTCCAGGCCTCCCCCACAATTAAGAGGCCAGATGAAGCCATGCACAGTGTGTCCTTTGACTGAGGAAGAAGCAGTCCCCAAGGACCCTGCCCCTGCTTCAGCTGGACAGGGACTTGGTTCCAGGTGGGGAGCTGGGCAGGCAGTGAGGGGAGGCCCTGCATAACCACTGACTGGCTTCACTTTCACACACAGGGGCCTCCCGGGCCACAGGGGCCCCCAGGGCCACCAGGGATCCCTGGAGCCAAGGTCAGTGCAGATGCAGCTCTATGGTCCCCCAAGCATTTGTCTTCAGGGCCCACCTCCCCGCTCCTGTCTGCTCTGTGACCCTCTTCCACTTCCCTCCTGGTGTCCTGTCCTGGCTTCTAAGGGCTCAGAGAAAGGGGCTGGGCTCCCAGGCTGAGTGCCTTCTTCCTGCACCCTTTCCACTCTGGGAGATTTCCCTGGGAAGCCTCATTCATACCTTTAAACTGAAAAATCATGCGGCTGTAAAAAGGAACGAAATCATATCCTTTACAGCCACATGGATAAAGCTGGAGGCCATTATGCTAAGTGAATTAATACAAAAATAAAACGCTGGATACAGTGGTTCACGCCTGTAATCCCAGCACTCGGTGGATCACCTGAGGTCAGGAGTTTGAGACCAACCTGACCAACATGGTGAAACTCCATCGCTACTAAAAATTCAAAAAACTAGCGGGGCATGGCAGTGGGCACCTGTAATCCTAGCTATTCAGGAGGCTGAGGCAAGAGAATCGGTTGAACCTGGGAGGGGGAGGTTGCAATAAGCCAAGATTCTGCCAATGCACTCCAGCCTGGGCAACAAAAGTGAAACTCCATCTCAAAAAAAAAGAAAAAAGAAAAGAAAAATACTGCATTTTCTCACTTAAAAATGGAAGCTAAACGTTGGGTACACATGGACACAAAGATGGGAATAATAAACACTGGGGATTCCAAAAGGGCAGATGGGGGAAGGCAAGGGTTGAAAAACTACCTAACAGGTACTGTGTTCCCCACTTTGGTGACAGGACCATTAGAAGCGAAAACCTCAGCATTATGCACTATACCCATGTGACAGCCCTGCCCGTGTACCCCAATTCTAAAACTTTTTCGGAAGCTATAAATTTTTCTATAAGCACTGCTTTAGCTGCCTCCTACAAACTTTGATATGTTGAATTTTATTTTTATTCGGTTCAACATAATTTCTAATCTCTCTTTTGATTTATTAATGGATTATTTAGAAATACGTTATTTAATTTTATAATACTTGGGAATTTTTCCAGATATCTTGCTTTTTTGTTTGTTTTTAGCTTTTTTCATATTTAAAGTATCCAACTGACCAGATATCTTATTAATTTCTTATTTAATTGTCTTGCAGTTAGAGACCTTTTTTTTGTTTTTGAGACGGAGTCTTGCTCTTTTGCCCAGGCTGGAGTGCAGTGGTGCCTTCTCAGCTCACTGCAACCTCCATCTCCCGGGTTTAAACAATTCTTCTGCCTCAGCCTCCCAAGTATCTGGGATTACAGGCCTGTGCCACCACGCCCAGCTAATTTTTGTATTTTTAGTAGAGAGGGGGTTTCACCATGTTGGCCAGGCGGGTCTCAAACTCCTGACCTTAGGTGATCCACCTGCCTGGGCCTCCCAAGTGCTGGGATTACAGGTGTGAGCCACCGTGCCCGGCTAGAACATACTCTTTTTAATACAACATTGATCTTTTTACTGTATTAAAACTTGTTTTAGAGTCAAACTACAAGTGTTTTGTCTCGTTGAATGTTTCATATGCACACAAATTAAATGTATATTTAGCTGCTATTGGGTGTAGTGTTTTCTAAATATTCACTAGCTAAAAGTAAAGAACTCAAAACCCAGCCCTTGTGACAGCACACCAGTCTGGTAGACGGACCACTATGTACATCCTGTGGCCTGTACCCATTCGTTTGCATCCTGCCCATTTGTCTCAAAAGAGCCAACAGCTTTGAAGTCAGGCAGATCTGGTCCTGGCATCCTTGTTCCTGGGCTCTATGGCCTAAAGCAAGTCACTTACCCTTTGAGCCTTGGCTCCTGAATCTATGACATACCAACTTATAGGTGACAGCCATGGGTTACATCTGCCCATGATGGGCTGAGGAAACAGAGAGGAGGCGGTGGGTACTGCCACAGTGCTCAGACCCCCCGGGTGCCTTCTGGGAGGTCCAACTGCAAAGACCCACCCTGGGCTGGGTATACAGTGTGTCCTGGCCCTCTGGCTGCTGACACCTCTCTAGAGAGGGAAGCCATAACCCCTCTTGCCATCTGTTCCCTTCCAGGGAGAGCTTGGATTGCCTGGTGCCCCAGGAATCGATGGAGAGAAGGTCTCTGGGCCTTTCATTTCCTTGGAGATGCCAGCGCCTGGTATTGGGGGGGGTGTGTGTGAGTGTATATGCAAGCGCGCATGCATGTGTGCACAGAGTTAGAGAAAGACCACGTGTGAGAGAGGCAAAAATCATGGATTCTCACACCAGGCTGCCTGTGTGCAAACTCTGGTCTGCCCTCAGGCCCTAGGCAAGTTGCCCACTCTCAGGCAGGGCTGAGTAACCCTGTGTATGGAGAACACTCAGTGCAGTGCTTGGCACATGGTGGAAAGCCACAGAGGCTAAGAGCATCACTGCCACCATAGGTATTACTGAAGTGAGAGTGAGAGAGAAAGAGACAGTGTGTGTTTGTGTGTGATATCCTATACAGACGTGAGCATATTCATAGGGTCACTTGCTATGTTCAAGGGCAAGTCTTTCCCACTGGGCCTGTAGTATGTGTCTCATCCTGGACGTTATGTAATTCGTTGAGTGGAGGGATTGGTGGCTGGATGAGTTTGTGGGGGTGGGAGGGTCCCACCACTAGGTTCTAAGATGTGAGGACAGAGCTGGCCCCATGAGCATGCCCAGTGGGGCAGCTCCAGGCTCACATGCTCCACGCATCTGCGCCTGGCCCCTGCCCTGAGGTGTCCACACCCAGATGCAATGAGGCAGGAGTGGCATTGCCCCCTACCCCCACCCACTGCATTCAGCTGAGGCTCTCAGCCACCATGGCTGGAGGTGGGGACCCACAAAGAGGAAGTGGGAGCCTACCATGGACTAAGCTCTGGGGATCCGCTAGGGTGGGGAAGAGAGAGGACCTGCTGAGCCCCATGAATCCCTTGTTTTTGTGGCTTTCAGGGTCCCAAAGGACAGAAAGGAGACCCAGGAGAGCCAGGGCCAACTGGACTCAAAGGAGAAGCAGGCGAGATGGGCTTGTCTGGCCTCCCGGTATGTGACTGGGCTGGGCTACACATTATGCCTCCTGTGTGGGAGCCCCGAGGTGACTACGTGGCCCCTGTGCTGTGGTGGGGGCCAGGGGCCTCCAACAGCCCTTGCAGTCTCAGTGCCCAGCTTGCCGGGGACACTCTAGGCTCCAGGCCAGCGCTGCCTCTCTCCAGGTATCTACTTCCTTGTCTGGAAGAGGCTTTCCACCTGGCTCAGATGGCAGGTAGAATCGGGAGGTGTGGCCGTGGAAGCGCATTGACCAGATGGTTATACCCTGTTCTCTGACCTAAGCTGCCCAAATTTGCATTCAGCTCTGTCCTAGCTGACTTTGGAACCCTGGGCAAGCAACCTAACCTCCTGGGGCCTTGGTTTCCTCACCTCCAAAGTGGGGGTGATCTTTCCCCTCCCTCAAGGGCACACGTGGCTGGGCTGACAGTGGTGGCTGGCACACAGCAATACCCACTGTTGTCGTCCTCATCATTTTTATTGCTACTTTTGTGGCCCAACTGGAAAAGCCAGCAGGTGTAACACTGCCTCTGGGACACATTCACTGTCCATTCTTGATGATCACTGGGCTAGAGAGGGTGCTGGGGTTTGACCTGGGGTCTTTGCTTCAGAGCCCCTGGTTGCCCCCTGCAGCCCAGGAAAACAATCTTTGCGGCTGCTCATGTGCTTTCTAAAGCCCACGCTGCTCACCACCCAGGGCTTTGTACACAGATCTAAGGAAAACTTTTTTCAGTTGCAACAGCTAACTTATGACTACTGCCAGAAGCCACATGGGGGCAGGAAGGGAGGTCGCTAAGCACCATGGGTGGCGACGCAGGTGCTGGACACAAAGGACTCACAGGCCATGCCATTCTGCAGGGTGCCGACGGCCTCAAGGGGGAGAAAGGGGAGTCAGCGTCTGACAGCCTACAGGAGAGCCTGGTAAGGATGTGCAGGGGCAGAGCTTCCCCCAGAACCCAGTCTAGGCTGGGTGGGGACCCTGAGCCTTGGGACAAAAAGGCCACCTGGCCTGAGGAAACCCAGAGCAGTAGGGGAGGAAGAGTAAGGGGAGCAAGGCTCCTCTGAGAACCCACAGGCCAACTCCCATCCACTCACCAGGCTGTGCCCTCTGGGGGCAGGAAGGAGACTCTCACTCCAGCAATGTGCAGTGAGCTTGGGTGTGGGCAAGTGAGGGTGACAGGTGGTGGGTGACTAACCTGTCTCTCACCCTCCCTAGGCTCAGCTCATAGTGGAGCCAGGGCCCCCTGGCCCCCCTGGCCCCCCAGGCCCCATGGTAAGGACGGTTTGTTTTGTTTTGGTTTGAAGCAGCCAGGAAACCAAGAGGTGGGGTGGGGGCTAGGTCCTGGAGCCATGACCCAGGAGAGAGCAGGCTTCTTCATTCAGGGAGGGACACATGGGCAGAGGACAGAGCCCAGGACGGGGCCCCAGGGGCCAGCAAGTGGCCCCTGCAAGAGGGTCTGGAGCCAGCCTTCTCATCTGCTTTCTCTTCCTTCAGGGCCTCCAGGGAATCCAGGGTCCCAAGGTGAGTGGACGCAGATTTCCCTACTGGCCTCAGACTCACCGCCCAAGTGGTTTTCAAGAACCTCACCAAAGCAAAGGGCCTGACCTCCACCCTGGCCCATCCCTGAGTCTTCCCAGCACCTGAACATCCCAAGTCCCCAGGGCATAACCTCCCTGATGTCGTCAGGGCCAATGCCCCCTCTCCACACCTGGGGCTCTCTCCTCCACTTTCTCCCTCTGCCTGGGACCCCAGTCTGTCCGTCTTTCCTTCGCAGGTCCATCACCCACTGTTTCTACTGCTTGTCCCCTTCTTCTTTCTCTGTGCCTCCCAGTTCCTTTCACTGTCCTCGCTTCTCCCATCCCAGCCTGCCCCACACACATCTGTCTCTCAGCTGCCACAGACTGAGCACGAAGTCTTGGGCTTGGTGTATATTACATAATGGCATGTTCCCTTTTCTTACATTAAATCTTCGAGTGTGGCCTGCCCACATGCCCTGCCCCAGGGAGGCAGACACAGAAAGGGGGGCCATCTGGCCTCACTCCTTGTCACACCACCCCCCATCCCCAGGGTGAACACATCTCTGCTTCCCCAGCTCAGAGACCAGATGTGGGATTCAGAGTCATGAAATCCCAGGCCTGAGCATGCAGCCCCACCAGATACACTGCTTCTTGTTCTGTTTTCTCTTAAGGCCTCCTCAGTTCATGTTTCAAAGAGGCGGCTGCTGTCAGGGACAGGGTCCAAGGCTTGCCGCAGAGGCCTGATGGGGACCCAGCTCTGCTGCCTTCCGCTGTGTGGCTGGGCCCACCCCCACCCATCTCTGCACCTGCTTTCCTAATCTATGGAATGGGTGTGACCATGATCACCTTCCATGCATGGCCAGAGCTCTTCCTGATTACCCTCACTGGGGAGTAAGCCAGGGTCAGGCCTGGCGGAGCCTGGATTTGTTCCTCTGCCCACACCCCAGCTCCCATGCAGTCTCCAAGCTTGCCTGTCCTACTGTCTGTCTGACCCTTCCCCCTGACGGATTTCCCTCCTTTGCCTCCAGGGCTTGGATGGAGCAAAGGGAGAGAAGGGCGCGTCGGGTGAGAGAGGCCCCAGTGGCCTGCCTGTGAGTGTCACGAGCCTTGTTTGTCCCAAAGGTGTTAATTCCTGTAACCGGCATGCCTCTTGACTCATTCCTTTTCTCTCCAGGGGCCAGTTGGCCCACCAGGCCTTATTGGGCTGCCAGGAACCAAAGGAGAGAAGGTAACTGCCTTTTTTGGAACTCCCTCTCCAACTATGGCCACATGTTCATGGTGTTGCTCAGCCCTGGGAGCCCAAACCTGTACCTCACTGGGTCCCTGCACTTTACAGGGCCAGAGTTTACACTCTGTGGATGCCAGGTCTATCCTGGCCTCTATCTATGCCTGCACAGTTGGTGGGTCTCCTTGCCCCCCTCTCTGTGGCCAGACCTGGCATCCACAGGGCTGGACTTCCCAGCAGCTGGGAAGTCCCTAACTCCTCCCTAACCCCTCTCTCCTACTCTGTGTCTCTTCTCAGGGCAGACCCGGGGAGCCAGGACTAGATGTAAGTGACTCATCATTTGCTTTGAGTAATAGGGTCCCTCTTGTGTGTATCTTCTGCCCTCATGTAGTAAACTGATCTGGCTACTCAAGTGTGACCCTCTTCCCCAGGGCTGGGACTGCAACTGACTGGTTCCCCCTGTGTCCTCATTGGCAAATCCAGTGCACAGCCCAGAGTAGGTGTTTTTATGGATAGATGAATGGATTGTTGATGGATGGATAATGGATGGATACATTGGTAGATGGACGATGGATGGAGGATGATGTACAATGGAGGATGCATTGATGGATTGATATATGCATAATGCATGCAGGATGGATGGATGGATGGATAAATAGCTGGATAGATGATAGATGAGTGGATGATAGATAAATGGATGATGGGTGGCTAGATGATAAGTAGATGATGGCTATGTGGTTGTATGGATAATGGAAGAAAGATGGATGATGGATGGAGGATGAATCCATTCAATCCTCCCTCCACGCATCCATCAATCCATCCATCCGTATCCATTATGGATGGATGTTTGGATAGATAATGGATGGATAGATGTTGGATGATGAGTAGATGGATGGATAGATGGATGGATGGATGGATAGATGGTGCATTGTAGCAAGGAAGTGAAGAGAGGAGTGAAGAGCCTGTTGCAATATCCTGGGTGAGAGATAATGAGGCTTCAGCTAGAGCAGTAATTTGAGAAGAAGAGGAAGGAAAGTATTAGTCCAGGTTGATTATATCAAGTCTGTTCTGGTAGCGTACATAGAAAACAGTTTAAACTGGCTTAAAATGACTCATAACTGAAAAGCCTGGGGGTTCAACACGTGGATCCAGGGCTCAACTGTGTCGACACAACTCAGCCTTTCACCCTCTTTTGTCTGCTTTCCCTGTGGAAATCAAGTTCCACATGGTGGTGAGGTAAAGCCAGCAGCTCCAGACCAGCATCCTCCCAGGCCCAAACCAAGAAGAAAGAAAATTCACCTCACTCCAGTGTTCTGCAGGAAGTCTCATGGGCTCTCACTGGTCCCAGTTAGGTTAACGCTGAACCGTCACTTGACCATACGAATGCAGTGCCCTGATGAGTCAGACCATGGACTGGGGTGGAATCAATGGGTTGTGAGAAGGAAGGTTGTTCTCAGGAAGAGCAGGTAGCTACTTTGAGGGACATAAGACAGATGCAGGGCTGCAAGGACTCTGGTGTCCACCCTAGACTTTAAAAAGAGAACATTATCCGGGAGAGCAACTGTGGACAAGGGAAAGGAAGAGCTGTAGCCCGGGTTTCTGACTGGGAGGGCTGGCTTCCATCAATGGGAAGCGAGAGGACAATGCCGAACCCACTGCAGGTTCTGGGGCCAGTTGGGGGTGGAGCTAAAGAGCCTCCATGCCACCATGAATGTGGTCATTCTAGGAGGCCTGGTGCTCAGGGTAGCCTCTCAAAACCGTGCCCACCTGCTCTACCTGGCAAACCCCAAGCCCCTCCTCAACTCCACCAGGCTCAACTGTAATGGGGACTGTGCTCAGAAGCTCCCTCTGACCCCCACCTGGAATAGAACAGCCCTTCCCCCCAGAACCCCACCCCACTATCTCACACCCCTGTCACTGAGCACTGACTGTTGTCAGCACTCTGTTGCCTCCCCGTTACACATGAACAAGGAAACATGTCCAATCCAATTCTCTTTTTTTTATTTTTTAACTTTTGTTTGTTTCTTTGTTTTTTGAGATACAGTCTTGCTCTGTCCCCTAGGCCAGAGGCAGTGGCGCAGTCTCGGCTCACTGCAACCTCCACCTCTCGGGTTCAGGCGACACTCCTGCCTCAGCCTCCTGAGTAGCTGAGATTATAGGTGCCAACCACCATGCCTGGCTAATTTCTATACTTTTAGTAGAGCTAGGGTTTCACCATATTGGCCAGGCTGGTCTTGAACTCCTGACCTCAAGTGATCTGCCTCGGCCTCCCAAAGTGCTGGGATTACAGGTGTAAGCCACCGTGCCAAGCCATAACAAATCCAATTCTCTGTCCCCAGTGTCCAGCCAGTCCAGCTCCTAGTAGCCGTTTAGCCACATTGGATGGATAGATGGACAGATAGGTGAATGGACAGATGTGTACAGGAAGCTGAGCCATGAGCACAAGACAGAGGTCACCATTTCTCATTCCATCAAAGACAGTGACATAAATTCCATGGTTTCTGGGGCCTCTGTCCCCAGCCAAGCCTAGACCAGTGCCAGCCACATCTGTGATGTGAGAGACCCCTTGCCAGCAGCTCTGCCTGACTGTTGGTGTCCAGGGACTACTTTGGAGCAAGCCCAGCTGGCATCCTAAATACATGCTCTTCCTACATCAGCCTTGTACCTGGCAGTGTATCACCTACAGCTGGGGCCAGGCCAGCATGTGCCATGAACATGCATGGGGAGGTGGGTGGGAAGTGGGCATGTGGATGGGAGAGGAACAGAGATGAGCAGATAACAGAGGGGCAAACTTTCGTCCTCATTTTCGGATTTAGCCTCTAATTCTTTTGTCAGGGTTTCCCTGGACCTCGAGGAGAGAAAGGTGACCGGAGTGAGCGTGGAGAGAAGGTAAGGGCAGCTGGACGGGAGCTAGGGCAGGAGGAAAGGGGGAAGGAGGCAGGTAGGAATGGAAGCCTATGGGAATCAGGCAGCAAGAAGCCGGCCAGGCAGGTGGGCAGGAGGCAGGGGGAGGCTGGCCCCAGGTGCCCCTCTTGGAGAGGTGTTGGAGGTGCCTGAGCCTGGCAGCTGTGGCCAATACCACCATCTTCCCTCCTTCACAGGGAGAGCGAGGAGTTCCCGGCCGGAAAGGAGTGAAGGGCCAGAAAGGGGAGCCGGGACCGCCAGGCTTGGACCAGCCGTGTCCTGTGGTAGGTGTCAGAGCAGGGCCCCACCCCAGGTCTTTTTGGCCTCCAGCCAGGGTCAGACCAAAATCTTCCCTGTCCTCAGAGCACGGTTGCAAGTCCCAGAGGCCCCACTGGTCACGTACCAGCCTTCCTCACTGTCAGGAACACTGCTGCTGACCGCCCCCAACCATGGGCATGGCTCGGGGAGCCCAGCTCCTCTGTAGAGATGGAGGCCTGGCCCCTCATTGTTCAGCCCCAAGACAGGCCTGGCTTGAGTCAAACCCACTTGGGGTGGAGGTCTACAGGGGCCAGACCATGAGCAGAAGGGCTTTACCTGGAGTCATCAGTACCATCAGCAGTGCCCTGGGAGGGGGCTGGGCCCTGGAGAGGGAAGCGAAGTCAGCATGGGCATGCTGCTGGAGGCGGGGCAGTGAGTGTCCAGCCCCATCGCCCTAGCCACCTGGGGCCACAGTCAGGGTCTGACTCCTGCTGGCTTGGAAGTCAAGCTGGGCTGAAAGCTTCCCCAGCATAGAGGGTGGGACCACTCTGACCGCTCTGGCTGGGTGCCCCTCCCCTTCCTTCCTCCTTCCCAGAAGAGTCTCTGGGTAGGGGTAGCACCTCCCTCTTCCCCGCATCCCCTCTGCCTGCCCCCATACCCTTCCTTTACCTCCTTCCCTGCTCTCTCAGTGGCCCTTCGTAGCCCACCAGCCCCAGTACCCAGTGAGTGAAACAACTACAATTCAGAAGTCAACTACTTTTATTTCTTTTTAAAGACAGACTCTTACTCTGTCGCCCAGGCTTGAGTGCAGTGGTGCAGTCATGGCTCACTGCAGCTTTGATCTCCCAGGCTCAAGGATCCTCCTGCCTCAGCCTCCCCAGTAGCCAAAACTACAGGAATGCACTACCAAGCCCCGCTAATTTTTAATTTTTGTAGAGATGGGGTCTTGCGATATTGCCCAGGCTCATCTTGAACTCCTGGACTCAAGTGATTATCTCACCTTGGCCTCCCAGAGTGCTGGGATAACAGGTGTGAGCCACCATGGCCTGCCTAGTTTCCTTTTTCTAGAAAGCAGGGAGGGTTTACATGTCATACTCTTTCAGTGGAGCTCAGAAAAGATAGGAAAAACAAAATAGCTGGGTTTCCATACTAAAACTGGGCAGATATTCATACCTGGCTACTCCAGCCATGGGAATAGGGTGGGGGCCTTCCCTGGGGATGCAGGCCAGCCTCAACCTCCAGTGGCACCAGAGCTAGAGACCCCCTCCCAGACCTTTGGCCTCTGTTCCTCAGTGTCCCCATTCTGCAGTGGGGGGCACCCCTCCCCCCAGACAATTTTGAGAAGTCAGTGAGAAAAGAACTTACAGAGTGAAGTGGTCAGAGCACAGAAAGGGCAGGGACAGGAGGGGCAGGGTGACTCAGCCCCACAGCTCCAGACCGTGGCCCAGGACTACCCTCCAAGTCAGTAAGCCCTTGTCTCCTTTGAAACAGGAGAATCCCACCTGCGGAGGCCGGAGAGGGGCACCAGGCTGGCGGGGCCCTTCGAGGGGCAGTGGGCCATGCCCTGCGGTAGGCAGTCTGGCCTGCTGTGTGCTGTGTGCCGTGTGCTGTGTGGGCCTTCTGAGCATCCGGGGCCCTGGGCTCTGCCCCCGCCTTCCTTGCTTCTGCCTTCCTTTCCATTCTGCCCTCCTCCCTACCTTCCCTTTGGTCCCTAGCCTGATTCCCTGGTGTACTCATGGGAATGTTCCAGGGGATGCCCAGTGAAGCCTGTGCCAATGCTTTGGAACAGAATGACATGTTTTGTGCTCTAGTGCCCCCAGGGGTGCCAAGCTGATGAGTCATTCTTTGTTGCTCTCCAGTTTCCCCACCCTCCAGGCTGCCTGAGGAAACCCAGACCCTGCTTATGTCTGGCTGCTGAGTGTGCACTAGACAGGTGCCACTAGACAGCCCCAGCCCCACGCTTAGCCCCAACCCCCAGCAACCTGAGCCTGCCCTGTCCAGGGCCAATACAGGCTAGAGCAGGATGCCAACTCCTGGGCCGTCCTCAAAACCCTCCAGAAGACATTCCTGCCCAAGGCCTGAAAGTTCACAGGCCCCAGGATGAGGAGCCAGAGTCACTGTCACATCAGGCAGGAAGCCACACAGCTCTCAGCAGGACCCAGGCCAGCCTGTGCATGCCTGGTACAATGCCCATCCCTTCTGTTTCTGCCCACTGCACAGTGGTCTCCACAAAGCACAGAGGGAACACACTCAGGACAAGCTCAATGAGAAGCCATCATGTCTCCATGACGCCACTACCTGGGTGGACAGAGGGGGCATTGTGGCCCTGCCTCAGTGGGCCCCCAGCAGCCTCACATGGCAGCTCCCTGGCCTGTACCTCCCTACAGATCAGGGAGGGTATGTGGGGTATAGAGGAGCTCCCCAAGCCCCATCCCCATCACTGAAACTTTCTTCTTTTCTAGGGCCCCGACGGGCTGCCTGTGCCTGGCTGCTGGCATAAGGTACGTTGCAGGGAAGAGCCTACAGGGCAGGCTCAGGGGAGGCGGAGGAGGCAGGGGAGGGAGGGGGGATGGGGAGGACTCCGGAGCCTGGGTGCTACAGCTCACCCCACAGTGACTGGGGTCTACAGCTCACCCCACAGTGACTGAATAGCCAGGTTTCCCATCATGACCCTGGTTTTGACTCTCCCAGCTTGCAGCTGAGGCATGGGATTATAGTCCTGGGTGATGGTGTATAACCCACCCTGTTGGTCACATGGACTCAAATGACACTTGGCCAAGGCAGGTTAAAGCCTTCAGTGCCTCCTGGGATATTGTCCAAACTGGCCCACTGAGAGGGAGTGGGGAGGCGAGGGAAAAGAGAAGGGGTCCGCAGCTGTTCCTGAGGAAATGAGCAGGAAAGGGGCTGCTGGAGTAGGGTGGCCTGGATGGGAGGGGGCGTCTCAGCTCCTTATCACCTTCAGTCTCTTCCTCCTTTTCCAGTGACCCTCAGGCCCAGCTCACACCTGTACAGATCCGTGTGGACATTTTTAATTTTTGTAAAAACAAAACAGTAATATATTGATCTTTTCTCCTGGAATGCACTACCTGTGGCATTTTAACTTTCGAGACTATACCCACCCAGCCCCAGAGCCTTCAGCATGTGAAGCTGCAGGAAAGTGGACAGGCCAGACCAGGGAGATGTGCACCTGAGGGGCACTCTCGGGCCTGGGCTTTCCCAGGAAGGAGATAAAGGCAGAAGCACCTGGCTAGGACGAGGCTGGAAAGATGCTAGGTTGGGCCTTCGCAGAGAGACTCTCAGCTGTGGTACTGCCCTGCAAGAACGTGCCCCCAAAACCCTGGATTCCCCAGGACACACCCTGTCCAAGAAGGCCCAGGGCTGGGACAGCAGCTGCTGCTGCTGCTGCTGGCCTCACCAGCCTCCAAACTCAGCCACAACCAGCTGCCTCTACAGTTGTACAAGACTTGGCCCCTGGACAAGACTCACCTGGAACTTGCAGCTGAACCCACAAAGCAGTGAGTGGAAATCCCCCAAGAGGGTCTAGCTGCCACCACATTTGGTAGGCCCCAGGAGGCCAGCCTACTGTGAGAATCCATGTCCTCTGGCCAGGAGTAGTGGCCAAGCTCTGTGACAGCTGTGATGTAGACCCTGTTCCAGGGAGCTAGCTGAGTGTCAGGGATGGAGGGGCCCAGGAGGGACTGACTGCTACTTCCTGTCTCTGTTTTCATATCACCCAGAGAGGGACAATATGGGACATGGCCCAGCCCAAGGAGGCAGTCCTCCCACTCAGAGCCTGAGTCTCACTGATCCCAAGTCTCCTACCCAGAACTGTGGCCAAAAATGACTCTACGTGGGCTGGGCAGGCAAATCAAACCTCAGGGCTGGTTCCCAACTGGCCTGAGCAGGGGGCCTGCCAGCAGACCCACCCACGCTCTGACAAGAGGCTTTTTCACTTCCAGCCAAGTGTTCCCAGCAACCAGCTCCATCCTGGCTGCTCGCCTTCCATTTTTATGTAGATGGAGATCACTGTGTGTAATAAACCACAAGTGCGTGTCTGGGTGAGCCTGTCCTTTCGGACTACCCCCAAGGCACCTCTGGCTGTGGTTTCATCCTGGCCACTGCTGGGTGGGGAAGGAAAAGGGGACTCTCCCTGAGTCAGAGCCATCCCAGAAACAGAGAAGGAAGTTCAGGGTCAGGGCAAAGATGGGATTTGGAGTTCAGAAGACCCAGATTTACAGCCTGGTCCTCCTACACACCAACTGAGTCCTCTGGCGAGTCTCTAACTGTCAAACTGAGCCTCTGTGTGCTCCTCTATTGCAGTTACCAGACTGCTGCATAACAAATCTCTCCAAAACTTGTTGCCTTAAAACAATAGTCATTTTGGCCAGACACAGTGGCTTGTGCTTGTAATCCCAGTACTTTGGGAAGGCAAGGTGAAAGGATCACTTGAGCCCAGGAGTTTGAGACCAGGCTGGCGGCATAGGAAGACTCCATCTCTACCAAAACTAAAGAATTAAAAAACATTAGTAGGGCATGGTGATGCATCCCTGTGGTCCTAACTGCTGGGCAGGCTGAAGCAGGAGGACCACTTGAGCCCAGAAGTTCAAGATCAGCCTGAGCAACATAGAGAAATTCCTCTCTTAAAAAGAAATAATAATAATTTCTATTTCTCTTGTATAGTCTAGGGTTAATGGGCTCAGTGTGGGTGCTTCTCACTCAAACTCTCCTGCATGGTGGTTGCTACTGGTCCTATAGCCAGGACTTCAGTTGGCAAATACCTATTTGTGGCCTCTCCACTTAACCCAGGCTCCCTCCCACATGGTGGCTGGATTCCAAAAGTGAACGTCCCAGGTTAGCCAGGTGGAAGCTCTGTCACCTTTTAGGGCCAAGTCTCAGAAGTCATGTGCTGTCACTTTCTGAAAGAATGGAGGGAGGAGAGATAGACCCCACCTCTCCATGGGAAAGTGTCAACATCATATTTCAAGGAGAAAATGTGGAATCATAAATCTTGTTGCAGCCGTCTGAAAAAGTGCAAACTCCCACCTCAACTGAGAGGGCACTATTTACCACTCGGATTGTGGTTCCCTGAGGATCCAGTGCACAGAGTATGTGAAGAATGTAGGGCGAGTCCCTTACCCAGAAGCACCCTCAATTCTGATTTTCCTCCCTCCTCCTGACTCCAAGACCAAGCAAGGGCCATAGTCCTGCAAAGTGTTCCCACTTCTCTCATCACAGCTGGTCCCTATTACAGCCCTAAGAGAGGGACCCTCTTACAGATGACAAAACCAAGCACATCCAGGGTGGCCTAGACAAGATGGGCCTGGTGATGGTGTCTCTGATGGTGGTGGTGCGTTACACTGATGGTGTCTGAGTCTCCAGGGACTGAGGCCTAAGGAGGGCCACAGTATGGATGGTCCCCCTCAGACCTCTGTGACATGGCCTCCTTGCTAAGCAGAAGAGGCTCAGCCATACACTGGCTAAGGAGGAGGGATATGTCCAGTCCCCTTCTCTGTTTCCCTACGGAACTGGCAATAAGTGGCAGGCCACATCACTCAGCCAGTTGTCTGGGTCAACAGGGAAGCCAGTAGTAGGAAACACCACTGTGGTGTTTCTCTTCTGTGATGACTGATGGAAGTCACTGGGTGTCCACACCTCCTCTGGAGTTCCAGCATAACCTCACAATCTACTGCATGCTACACTTCACAGTTCCCTCCTCCCTCCATCCAGGAACCCCACTTGATCCCCTCACCAGCCCTGCAAAGCCCAGGGCTTGTGTGATAGGTGTCACTATTTCCATTTACATAGGGGAAAACTGAGGCTCAGAGAGGGTAGTCACCTGCCCAGGGATGCACAGCCAGGACATAGTGGCAGACTTGGGAGAGCATCTAGGCTCTTGGGTTGTCTTCTACATTGTCTTTCCAAAACTTGTCTGGCAGAGCATGGAATCTGATAGGCAGTTCCATGATGCTGGGTGGTTGGCAGATAGATCCTCGTGGGGGTAGAAGCCATGTGTTCCCCCCTCTTCCTCAGTCTTCTGAGGAGGTCTCTCCTGCTCCTTCGGGCAGGATGGGGCATTCTTGGCCCACTTCTGCCCCCTTGCGGTGTCATGCGTTGTATCCTAATGCCTGCGAACTTGTCAACTGCAAGCTTCAAAATTTAGAGTCTGCTGAGTCCTCGAAGCACCCAGGGTTGAGCACAGAGACAGCAGAGGAATCAATGATTTGTTCAAGGTTCCACCTGAGACACTGGGGAGCATCCTGCTTCACAGCTGAGTCTCAAAGACTGGGGGGCCTCAGGTCTCCTGCCAAGAAAGGCAGTGCAGCCACAAAGTACCCCTTTCTGGAAAAGAGAGAAGTATATTTACTGACCCCTGCTGCGTGCCATGACAGCTAAACTAACCACAAGGATAGCTATCCCTTTTTGTAGATGGATCTGAAGTGGACTTACCCAGGTCTCTTTCCTTCTGGTCCCTAAGAGACCACTAGAAATACAGGGGATGCCCTTGGTTATCACAATGATTTGGGGACACGCTGGCATTCAGGGGGTAGGCTCAGGGATAGTGAACACCTAAAATGCAAAGGCCAGTCCTATCCAATGACAAATCATCTCAACAAGAATCCCAGTGCTACCCCTGTTCAGAAACACCATGCCCTGGGTTCAAATCCTGGCTCAGCCACTTCTATCTCCTACCCTCTTGGTCTCCAAAGTTGCCTCGAAGGCCTCTCTCATAAAAGACAGAGGAGTGCTTAGCACAGGACTAGAGACAAGAAGTGAACTTTTCTGAGCAGGAAGAAAGTGAGGCTTCCTGGTGTTGTCCTGGCCATGCTATAAGATTCTCCTGACCCAGGAAATGACTCAGCCTGGTCTGACCTCAACTATATTACTTTTTTTTTTTTTTAAGACAGAATCCCACTCTGTCGCTCATGCTGGAGTGCAGTGGCGCAATCTCGGCTCATTGCAATCTCTGACTCCCATGTTCAAGTGATTCTCTTGCCTCAGCTTCCCGAGCAGCTGGAATTACAGGCACCTGCCACCATGCCTGGCTAAATTTTTTATATTTTTAGTAGAGACGGGGTTTCGCCATGTTGGCCAAGCTGGTCTCGAACTCCTGATCTCATGTGATCCACCCACCATGGCCTCCCAAAGTGCTGGGATTACAGGCATAAGCCACCGCACCTGGCCTATATCACCTCTTGACCAAAGGAGCAGGTGAAATGTTAGCTGGGCCCAGCTACAGCCTTCTCATCCTCTGCCTCAAAGCAGGAAAAGCCCCTGAGCCAATCTGACTCCTCTGAGCTGCCATGGGGCCACAGTTGTGGCTGAGTTTGAGCTGCAAGACAGGGCTGAAAAGTGGGCCTCAAATAGGACGTGCATGCACACACACACACACACACACACACACACAGCCAGAACTGCAGGGCATGGAAGTATCATAGGTCTCTCTACTAGTGAGGAGAAACCAATCCACTAAGAAAATGGTGACCACGATCCCACTCACACACACACAGGGTCTGTGAGGACTTGATCCTTAGAAACGAAGTACGGGGTGGGCATGGTGGCATGCACCTGTAGTAGCAGGTACTTGGGAGGCTGAGATGGGAGGATCACATGAGCGCAGGGAGGTAGAGGCTGCAATGAGCTATGATCATGCCACTGCACTCCAGTCTGAGCGACAGAATGAGACCCTGTCAAAAAAAAAAAAAAGACATACAGGTCACAAGCAGTTAACCTCTCAGTTAATTTGGGAATTGTTTTCCAAAAATCATGTAAAATATTCAATTCAGCTTTACGGTTAAAAACAAGAAACTCCATTCTGTTAGGGAGGATCAAAAAGTCCTGTTGCATGGATGGTGGTGATGTGAATGTACTTTTGCCACTCAATTGTATTCTTTAAAATGGTAAACGTTGTTTCGTGTATTTTACAATTAAAAAAAAAACACAATTCCAAATGTTCTTTAATAAATGCCTTAAGCATCTTACAACTGTATCGGGAAAAGAAGAAATCAGAAATGAGGGAGTGAAGCAGACGCCTGGGAATCATGAAGAGGTGAACAGAAAAGGAGGGACAATCAGGAGCCTCCCCTGCCCCAGCCCACAAGGGCCGCAGTCCCAGGCCCGAGTTCTCGTGTTCTTCAAGGAAGAAAGCCCCAGTGCCCAACCCCAGGAGGGGGCTTTTCTCATATCCCAGCCCCTTGGAATGTTTTCTTCTCAGTCCCTGGGCTGGGAGTCAAAAAGACCTCAGTTGTAGTCCAGCCCCTGCAGCCTTGCTGCGTGTCTTACAACGAAGCCCTTTCGCTTTCTGGGCTTCAGGATCATGGACATGTACTACAGGGAGGCTCCCCAACTCTATTCTTGCTAAAACACTGCATGATTCTCTTGGCCTTAGATATATAGCTCGTGTTCCTCCTGCCTGGATTCTAACAGGAACCATGGTGCCCTAAGGTCAAGCCCACGGTGATCTTGTTCAGCCCCAGAAGGGACCCTGGGCTCTCCGTCTGCCCTTCCTGCTGCCCCTTCATGGGGCTGGGAAGACCTAGGCCCTGCTTCTCCCACCCTGAGGCCACTGTTGTGTACCAGGTGAGGTACCAGTCAAGCACTGGCACTTCGGTCTCAAGAGTGCGTCCCATTTTATGCACGCGGAAGACGACTCAAAGACTGAGTCCGGCCTGAGCAAGGCCTGCGGCAGCTGTGACCCTCACCCGGGCGCCGGGAGCAGGAGCGGGGTCGTCCCGGACTCTTTCCCGGGAGGGAAGCCGCAGGGGCCTGCGGGGTGAGGCCCGCAGCGCGTCCCGGAACCAGAGCCGGGGCAGTGCTCGAGCTCCCGGGCGCGACTGCCAATGCACGACCCCGGGGCCGGAAGGCTGCCAGGCCCGGTCGGCAAGCGAAGAAATGAACCGCCATAACGCGGGCGCTTGGGGGCAGGGCCCGAGTGCGAACCCGAGCCCCAAATCCCGACCCAGGCGGGGCGGGGCCTTGGAGGCCCAGCCCGCGCGGCGACGTCTCCGCACGGCGTCTCGGCATCTACTGACAGCCCCACGCCATGGCCGCAGACCGGCGAGCGAAGGCCGACACCCTGGCGCTGAGGCGGCAGCTCATCAGGTACCCGGGCAGGGGGTGGGCGGCGCGGGGCTGCGCGGGGAGGCACGCGCACGCCCCACGCACGCACGCCCGACGCACGCGCTTCGGGGAAGGAGGTCGCAGCTCCACAACCCGCCCCGCCCCAGTCTCGGCCCGGCTGGAGCTTCGCAGGGCCGGGAAGCTGGTCGCGGCGCTGGGCTGTCCGTGCAGGTGGTCTCCGCGGCCGCCTCCCCCACAGCGCCGTCTCCAGGCCGCCCAGTTTAGGAGCCGGCCCCGCCCACACCGCTGTCTCGGCTGTGGCAGCCTCGTTCGGCCTTTGCCCCGAGAAGACTTTCACCCTGGCCCCTGGGAAGACCTCATCCAGCGGGGCCTGTCAGCAGCACCTGGGCCTGGCTCGAGAGCGACCTGGGGGGTGGGGCGCTGAAAGGGCAGACGAGGGGAGAGTCGGGGGAGTTGGTTAACAGGCAGCCTTAGAGAAGGCCCTCACTTGACTTGTGAGGGGGTCCCTCGGTGGGACGGTGGGTGAGGCAGGCTTCCATTGGAGTTCAGGGCTGCCACCCAGCCAGGGGGACCACGTGGCTGGTAAGGAGCGGTTAGGGCTGAGAGCCAACCACCTAATGTTGGTGCCCTGCCCCATCCCATTGAGGACACGCGGCCTTACAGAGCCCCCGTGGGCCTTGGTCAACCACCTATTCTCAGGATGGACTGACGTGGCCACATGCAGAAATGAGCAAGGAGGCCACAGAGTCTTAAAACGCTTTAAGAAACAATTCTAAGTTTCAGCAACTTGTTTCCCCATCTGCTTCCTTCTTTGCAACCACCTGTAAAGTGGGGAGACCAGGCAGGGAAGCAGCACCTTGCCCTTCAGGCTTTCATGTTCTTCCCAGAACTGGGAAGGGGTGGGCAGGAGCCTGTGATGAGTAGATCTCCCTTTAGCTCTTCAGACATGGCTGTCCACTACTTGCCTGTCCCCACAGCTCTTCCTGCAGACTCTTTTTTCCCGAGGATCCTGTTAAGATTGTCCGGGCCCAAGGGCAGTACATGTACGATGAACAGGGGGCAGAATACATCGATTGCATCAACAATGTGGCTCACGGTCAGTATCATACCTCAGGCTGGCAGGGCAGGAGAGAAAGCCAAGGCTGTGAACTTGGTCCCAGGGTGACTCGAGATTGCAGAGAGGTGTGGAAAACGGGTTGAATTAAGGCACTAACAGTATGCAGAGGAGGCTCAATCTTTGCAATATAGCTGTGGAATGCTGCAAGCTGGAGCTGTGCTAAATCAGGCAGGAGTCAGAGATCTAGGTCTGTGGGTCTAGTTCCACTTGGGACTGATGACGAGTTCATATTCACGAGGTCAGGAGGTCATGAGACAAGCCTGGCCAACATGGTGAAACCCCATCTCCACTAAAAATACAGAAAATTAGCTGGGCATGGTGGTGGGTGCCTGTAATCCCAGCTACTCAGGAGGCTGAGGCAGAAGAATCGCTTCTCAGGGAGGCAAAGGTTACAGTAAACTGAGATCATGCCATTGCACTCCAGCCCAGGGACTCTGTCTCAATTAAAAAAGAAAAAAGCAGAGACTCTAGTCTTAGACTGCTTGGGCTCAATTCCCTGTCCCCTACTAACTTTGTGATCTCAGGCAACTTACTTAGTTCTCTGTGACCCTATCTGCAACATGGATATCCTAGGTATCCATGTTAAGGTGTTTGGAGAATTAAGTGTGTTAATTTATGGAGCTTGCTCTGAATATGCCTGGCACATGATGAGCTCTGAGTACATATTCACTATTATCCTTGGCCTTGGGCAATCAAGATTACCGCCAACCCCCATTGGCTGGTGAAGTGAAACCAGTTGACAGTCACCCCCCCAACCCCACCTTTGTCAAGCAAGCCTCAAAAGGCCTTCCAGCCTGGGCAACATAAGGAGACCCTGTCTCTAAAAAAAACACCTAAAAATTAGCCAGGCATGGTGGCTGGTGTCTGTAGTCCCACCTACTCAGGAGGCTGAGGTGGGATGATCACTTGAGCCCAGGAGTTTGAGGCTGCAGTGAGTACCATGACCACATCACTGCACTCTGGCCTGGGTGACAGAATAAGACCTGTCTAAAAAAAAAAAAAAAAAAAAAAAAAAAAAAAAGACATGGACTTTCTAGATAGGGTTCTTCTGCTGAAGAACCTTTTCCTTCTACCAGAATCTCAATAACTCCTGGATCTGCCTTTCCAGAACCAGCATTTCTCACCCTGTTCTGCCTTTAGACTCCTCTCTTTCTACCTGTCCCTCTGGAACTGCGTCTCTTCTGTCTGGGTTTATAGCTTGGGGCTGGGGGAGGCCGGGAGGGACTCACTGAGCGGAGTCAGCTGGGTGATGAAGGTGGCACTCTTCCAGTTGGGCACTGCCACCCTCTCGTGGTCCAAGCAGCACATGAACAGAACCAGGTGCTCAACACCAACAGCCGGTACCTGCATGACAACATCGTGGACTATGCGCAGAGGCTGTCAGAGACCCTGCCGGAGCAACTCTGTGTGTTCTATTTCCTGAATTCTGGGTAAGTGGACTGCAGCCAACGCCTGGCAAGAGGGTGAGATGATAACGAAGAGAGTCGCTCACATGGGCCCAGCGTTGTGTAGCTGACCGAGCATGGACTCGGGGAGAGACAGCCCTCATTGCACCAGGCTTCTGGGATTCCCAGCTGTAGGCCCTGTTGCTTTTTCTGTTGGATCCAGTTTCCTTGTTTCTTACTGAAGGATGCTATCTCCTTTCTAGGATCATTGCTGGGGCTTAGTGAGGTAGTATGTTCCCTTATTTCTGCCTTATGGATACAGCCAAAATCCCTGCCTATAGGTTGCTCAATAAGAAACAAAAACATCAAGTGATTCTGCAAAGGAATACAGAATTACAAGGAGGGCTCTGGAGGATGTATACAGGGTATCCTGAGGCCTAGAAATAGTGAGGGACCTGACTTGTTCTGGGGGTACAGGGAAACCTTCCCTGAGGAAGTGATGTTAAGAGCTGACTAGGAGAGGAGGAAGATGTTAAGCTAAGAGCTGACTAAAAGAGGAGGAAGGAAGGGTGCTGCCACTGCCAGTCAGAAGTCTCATAGTGGCTGGGTGTAGCCAGAGGCCACCTCCTAAAATGAAAGCTGACTCATGTCCAATTTCTCCTTAAAACTCTTCAGTGGCTTCACATGGCACTAAGAAGAACACCCAGGCTCCTTCCCAGCCCTGTGCATGTGGCCCCTGCATATCTCCCCACTTCCTCTCCTGCTCTGCCCTCCTTAGGCCTTGGCCTCCCTCATCTTCTCCTGGTTCCCTGAGCACAGTTATTTTCCTTCACAAGGCCTTGGTGGATGCTCTTCTGTCTGCCTGGAAACTTCTCCCTCAGGACCCAGTGCAGGAGTTAACCTCCCCATAAAAGCTTCCTCTGACCCTCTGTATTGGTCTGCTCTGGCTACCATAAAAAATACCAAGACTGAGCATCTTAAACAAGAGACATTTCTCTTCTCACAGTCCTGGAGGCTGGAAGTCCAAGATCAAGATGCTGGCAGGGTTGGTTTCTTCTAAGGCCTCTCTCCTTGGCTCAGAAATGGCTGCCTCCTCCCTTTGACCCTGGTTAGTCTTCGTCTGCAAGTGTCTGTAGTGTCTCTTTGTGTGTCCAGATTTCCCCATATAAGGACACTGGTTAGATTGGATTAGAGGCCCCCTGACAGCCTCATTTTAACATAATCACCTCTCTTATCTCCATATCCATTCACATATGGGCCGTTCTGAAGTACCGGGTATAGGGGTTCAACACATAAATTTGGGGAGGGGGTGTAGTTCAACCCGTAACATGCCCCCCCTGGTTCTCTCTCCCAGGGCATCCATCGTAGCACCTAGCAAAATGATCGCTTTTACTTTTTTGGCTTTTGTGGTAGCATATGTGTGTGGGGTGTGTGTGTGTGTGTGTGTGTGTGTGTGTGTGTGTGTGTGTCTGTGTATATATATATATATATACATATATACACAGACACACATGTATATATACATACACATATATTCGTTTTTGTTCACAGTTCCTGGCTCATAACTCCCACAGCCCTTGTCACACTCTTTTGTTATAACATCAGGTGTGTTAGGCCTCAGGAGACAATCACTCTAACCTTCTCCTGCCTTCTTTTCACCTGCCCAAGGCAGGACTCTAATCTTCCCTACCTTTCTGATGATGGATCATAAGACTCATTCCAGAGAGGGTCCCACCCCATATCCTGGTGGAAGGAATGCTGCCGTCATGAAGCTTCCATAAAAACCAAGGGGACTGGATTCAGAGAGCTTCCAGATAGATGAACACATAGAGTGTCCTGAAGAGTGGCACACCCAGGGAGGGCACAGGAAGCTCCATGCCCTTCCTTCCTGCCCCACCCTGTGCATTTCTTCATCTGTATCTTCTGTAATATCCTTTATAATAAACCAGTAAATGTATTTCCCTACGCTCTGTGAGCCACTCCAGCAAATTAATTGAACCTAAAGAAGGAATTGTGGGAACCTCAACTGGAAGCCAGCAAGTCAGAAGTTCCAAAGGTGGCTGGCACAGTTGCTCATGCCTATAATTCCAGCATCTTGAGGCTGAGGTGGGAGGAATGCTTGAGCCCCCAGTCTGGGTAACATAGTGAGACCCCTCCTCTCTACAAAAAGAAAAAAGATGTTCCAGAGGCCCAGACTTGCTACTGGTGCCCAGGGGCCTGTGAGGCAGTCTTGGACATTGAGCCCTCATGCTGTGGGTTCTGATGCTGTCTCCAGGTAGATAGTGTTGGAATTGAATTGGAGGACACCCAGCCGGTATCCACTGCAGAAGTGATTGCTTGGCCTGCTGGTGGGGAGAAATCCTTACATATTTTTTGGAGTAACAGAAGTCTTCTGTGTTGATTGTTAAAGTGTGAAAGCAGAGGAAAAACAATGGTTTAAGTTTTTTCCAAACAGCTTTCATGACACATACGAGAATATAAATTCCAGGAGGGCCAAGGCTGTGTCTATCTTACCTGCTCTTTTTGACCCCAGCTTCTAGCACACTGGAGGCATTTGATATATACCAAACAAATAAGCAAGTGACTGACTCGTTGACGTCCTGAGAATCTTCTTGCTGCTGGAAGAGTCCTCCTGCCCTCAGCATTTCTCTGTGGGAAGCCTCTGGAGCACTGTCTGAGTCATGCCCACCTTTTTGGTCATAGGTCAGAAGCCAATGACCTGGCCCTGAGGCTGGCTCGCCACTACACGGGACACCAGGATGTGGTGGTATTAGATCAGTAAGTGCAATTCGCCGCCCTATCGTTTCCAGAAGCCTGGCCTACAGGCCTCTTGGGGATCTGTGAGACTGACTCTGTGTGCCTTAGGCAGGGAGGACGAGGGGCCTGGGCTACTGAAGGCAAGCATGGCAGGCAGAGGACCAGGCGGTGGTTCTACAGAGTTTCTCTCGGCCTCCCAAAGTGCTGGGATTATAGGCGTGAGCCACCACACCCGGCTCATTTTACACTTTCAAACTCCTGTGAATTGAGTAGCTCCTGTGAATTGAGTATGTAATGTGCGCAAGGCCCAAGCTGAGAGCATCAACACATTTAAGATTCATTATAAACCAGAAAGAACTCCCACCCCATTTCACAGGAGAGAAAACAACCCAGAGAGGTTAAATGATGAGCCACTGTCACATAGCCAGGCGGCAGTCTTCCAAGAAGTGCTGCTGACTCCAAAGTCTGTGCTCTTTCCCAGCCCAAGGACTTGGGGGCTGTGTCAGGAATGTTGGCCTCCCCTGTGGGTCTTCAGGGGTGGGGAGACCATGGTCAGATGGGCCAGGGAGTAGGTACTGCCTGGGCCTGAGCCTACCCTCCCTTCTCCTCCCCAGTGCATATCACGGCCACCTGAGCTCCCTGATTGACATCAGTCCCTACAAGTTCCGAAACCTGGATGGCCAGAAGGAGTGGGTCCACGTGGTATGCACTACCCAACTCAACAACAGGTCGGTGCCTGCCCCCAAGCCCAGATAACATGGCGCTGTCACTCCCCACAGGCACCTCTCCCAGACACCTACCGGGGCCCCTACCAGAAGGACCACCCCAACCCAGCTGTGGCCTATGCCAACGAGGTGAAACGTGTGGTCAGCAGTGCACAAGAGAAGGGCAGGAAGGTAACCATGTTCATACCTGTCCAACCCAGTAAACAATGAATGTCACCTCCATTGTTGTCACCACCCCTGTGCTAGATCCTGGGAACCCAGAGAGAAAAACCAAACGAGGCCCTGCCCTCTAGAAATCTGGGTAGGGGCAATTCAGGCTCAGCAGAGAGTCTTAGTGTATGGGCGTGATAGGCAGCCAGACCCTGAGCAGGCCTCGGGGTATATCGAGGGAGGTCCTTGGAGGAGGTGCTTCCTGATACTGTAAGGGTCAGACTCTCCAGGCTGGGGAGTAACAGAGGAATGGCATCCTAACAGGTGGCTAAGGAACTGTGTGAATGTGTGGCCAGGCAGAATAGGTCGGGAGCTGAGCCTGGAGAGGCAGGCAGGTCCACATGCCAGAGGGCACCAGAACTATGCTGAGCAGCTGGAGTTCTGCCCTGGAGGCCCCAGAGAACCACCGAAGAGTCTTAAGTGGGAGAGCAGTAAGATCATGGGGCTGGGGCTGCTCTCTGACTCCAGGGCAGGATAGATTTGAATGGGGCAGCTTGAGGTCAGGTGACCATGATTTAGGCCCCAAATGAGCGGTGGGGAAGCCTGATAGGGGCAGTATAGTGGAGATAGAGTGTAGGTGTGTTACCCACGGTGACAGCAGAGGGAGGACTGTTGGTGACAGGTGAGGACTCTCTGAAGGCTTCACTGAAGGAGTGACAGAGCCAGACACAGGAGGTATGGCAAAGAAAGGCAGCCTGTGGGGCCAGAAATGTTAGCAGAAATCAACCAGGGAAGCCTTGCCTATGTGTTTCAGGGGCTCTGCAACCCCTTCTATAAAACCTAAAAAAGCAGATTGCTCTGATTGCGACAGGTGTGGGGGACCAGTATCCCATCCCATTGGCCCTGCCCTCCCACCTGTAAGGCAGAATACAGTTAGGAAGTCACTGCCATATGCAGAAGGGGTTACTGAGGGGTTTTAAACAACAATGACATGCTCAGCTCTCTGGGTTGAGGTATCCATCACCCTGGTGGCCATGTGGAGAATGGACTGGAAGAGGCATCCAGTAAGAAGGCATCTGCAGGGCCGGGCACGGTGGCTCACACCTGGAATCCCAGCACTTTGGGAGGCCGAGGCGGGTGGATCACGAGGTCAGGAGATCGAGACCATCCTGGCCAACCTGGTGAAACCCTGTCTCTACTAAAATACAAAAAAATTAGCCGGGCATAGTGGTGCACACCTGTAGTCCCAGCTACTTGGGAGGCTGAGGCAGGGGAGTCATTTGAACCCAGGAGGCAGAGATTGCAGTGAGCTGAGATCGTGCCACTACACTCCAGCCTGGCAACAGAGCAAGACCATGTCTCAAAAAAAAAAAAAAAAAGAAAAGAAGGCATTCGCAGGAGTCCAAGAAAGAAACAGGCAGATATGCAGGAGACAAGCATGTCCACGCAGAGGGCAAGGAATAGTTTTAGAGAGGAGGCTGAGATAGAATCCTTGGGCAGTGCTGAGTGATGGGCTGAGGGAGGGGGACAGGGAAGGAACAGGCTTATGGGGGAGAAATCAGTGCATTTAGTTTGGGGCATGCCAAGTACTAGGAGCCTGGAGGCATCTAGGTGGTAAGAGCTTGTTGGGAGGCCTGAGAGAAAACTGAGTCACAAACCTTCAGATGTGCCGTGGAGTCCAAAGTAGGGGTGCAGCAGTGGCAGTGACTTGTCCTTCTTAGACTGAGCCAGCACTAGCAGGGCACGATGAGCCAGTCACTGCACACTTCCATGGTCATGTTTCCAATGGCCATTTCTTTACAGATTGCAGCCTTCTTCGCTGAGTCTCTGCCCAGTGTGGGAGGGCAGATCATACCCCCCGCCGGCTACTTCTCACAAGTGGCAGAGTGAGTAGGTGGGCGGGGTCTGCCCTAGGGAGACCAGGGCTCTAATGGGGTTTTCCAACCTCTGGTCCAAATCCCAACTTCAGCCTGGCCTGACTGCCGGAAGTTTGAGACAAAGCCCTTAAACAAATAATGGCCAGAGAAGGCCAGCCATTTGCCCAAGGCCCCCACCTTATTGCTGGCAGCACCAGGATGCAAAGCCCCGAGACCTCCTGACTCCTGGTCTTATCCCTCTCAACCACAGCCCCCACATCAGTCATCTGTCCTCTGCCACAGGCACATCCACAGGGCCGGAGGGGTCTTTGTTGCAGATGAGATCCAGGTTGGCTTTGGCCGAGTAGGCAAGCACTTCTGGGCCTTCCAGCTGCAAGGAAAAGACTTCGTCCCTGACATCGTCACCATGGGCAAGTCCATTGGCAATGGCCACCCTGTTGCCTGTGTGGCCACAACCCAACCTGTGGCAAGAGCATTTGAAGCCACCGGCGTCGAGTACTTCAACACGGTGAGTGACAGCTCTAAAGCAAGGGAGCAACATGAGTTCTGATAGGCCCCTGGTGATCAGCCTGTCCTTAGTCAGCAAAGGCTACAGCAGGGCTAACACTGTGCCCAGCACACATTTCCAAGATACTGTCCTTAAGGAGATCATAGCCAGGTCAGGTAAGAAAACATAAAACATCTTTTAAAATTAATGTCAATCCAAAAGCTGTCTCAAGGGACTATGTCTTATAAAATATATAAAAAAAGAAATGAGTCCCTGTCTCCCTTCCAGTAGAAGCCACCCACTCTGTGCCAGGCCCTGTGTCAGGTGCTGGAACTTGAGCTGGTTAAGAGGCATTGAGGATTGTGGTCTACTTGGGTAATACATGATCTGGGAGCAGAGTTCACATTGCAGTAGCTCCCTGTCTTTGGGGTACAGGGTCAAGAGCTTTCCCTGAGTGAAGCTGACACATGGCATATTCAGTGGCCCTGAGGCAGCAGTTGCAGAGCAGATGAGATGACGGCAGGCAGCAGGAGCCTTATAGGAAAGAGCTGAGGAGTCTGTACTGATCCTGAAGACAGTGAGGACCGCAGGAGGGTTTTAGTCCTGGAGAGAATATCCTTTGAAAAGATCTCTGATGCTCAGTGTGGAGAAGGAATTGGAGGGAGGGAGACTGGGTCCAAGGAGGAGAGGAGGAGGCCCATAGGAGGGGGAGCAGGGACAGAGGGTTGAGAACTCACTGTGAGTTCCTCAAAAAACCAGTTCAAATTGGGGACTGAAACATGTCAGGATTTGGCAAGATAAGGCAAAGAAGGTCCTTGGGGGTGAGGGAAGTGACACTTTGGCTGGTGCATTCAGCCAAAAACCACCACTCCGTGTCCACGTGACACATAGAGCCTCAGACAAGCTCACTGTCAGGGAAAGACAGGCTTACAGACTCATGGTCGTGATAGCGAGGACAACAGTGGAAGTGGTGTGTTCACGGGGCTGTGGGAGCACAAAGGCCATCCCAGATGAGAGGTGGGTGAAGAGCTGTGGGACAAGCAGTAGAGGCTTTATATAGAAGGCAAGACTAGAGCCGAGTCTGGAAGGCTGAGCAGAAAATCAAGTGTGTTGTATAAGAGGAACAAAAGCTCAGTGGAGCAGCATCTTTACTTTTATTTATTTGACCCTCAAGTGTAATTAGAATCCTTGGTTTATGGAAGACTCTCAACATCTGTCTGTGCATAGCCCTCTTCTAGTTATTCAGTTAACCTTTATTAATGTTCTAAGCACCTGGGAAGCCATCATCCCTAATAAAAGCTAGGACCTTGACAATATCCTGCATGTCTCCAGATGTTCCCCCAATCCCTTCTTATTGCCTCCTCCACCCATCAGTCTGAATAACCATGGTAACCATCACTCTGAATCCCATATTCATTATTTAGTTGTTTTTTGACTTTATCATGTCTGTCATGCTGTATATACTGTGGGGATTCTTTTTTCGACTAACATCACTAAGCATCCTCCCTATTGCCTGTCACTGAAATTCCTTTGCTTTGACCATTTTATAATCTTTTGTGTAAGTGTACCACAGTTCACTCATCCATTCCTTTTTTTTTTTTTTTTTGAGACTCAGTTTCACTCGTTACCCAGGCTGGAGTGCAATGGCGCGATCTCAGCTCACTGCAACCTCTGCCTCCCGGGTTCAGGCAATTCTCCTGCCTCAGCCTCCTGAGTAGCTGGGATGATAGGCATACACCACCATGCCCAGCTAATTTTTTGTATTTTTAGTAGAGACAGGGTTTCACTATGTTGATCAGGATGGTCTCAATCTCTTAACCTTGTGATCCACCTGCCTCGGCCTCCCAAAGTGCTGGGATTACAGGCCTGAGCCACCGCCACTCATCCATTCCTATTGATGTGCTTTGAGGTTGTTCCTTTTTTTTTTTTATTTTGCAATTATGAACAGTGTTGCTTTAAACAATTTTTCTAAGTCTCTGCTGTACATGAGGCAAGAGTTTTTCTTAGGACTGTACCTGAGGGTGGAATTGCTGGCTCATATGGTATGTGTTCACCCTTAATTTTAAAAGATGACATTTGTTTTCTAAAGTAGTTAACGAGTTAACACCCCACCCATTTTGTGTGTGTGTGTGTATTTTTTTTTTTTTTGAGATGGGGTCTCACTCTGTCATCCAGGCTAGAGTGCAGTGGCACAATCTCAGCTCACTGCAGCCTTTATTTCCAGAGCTTGTGATCCTCCCACTTCAGCCTCCCAGGTAGCTGGGACCACAGATGCATGCCACCACGCCCAGCTAACTTTTTGTATTTTTGGTACGGATGGGGTTTCACCATGTTGCCCTGGCTGGTCTCAAACTCCTGAGCTCAAGTGATCAGCCCACCTCCATCTCCCAAAATGCTGGGATTACAGGCATGAGCCACGGCATCCAGCCTATAGCTTCTTCAGTGCCTTTTAAATTTTGTCAGTCAAGTGGAGTGTAAAACAGTAGCTTGTGTGGCCTTGATATGCCATTTCCTGATTTCAGATTACATGAATTATCTCTTCATGTTTTTGGCCACTTATTTCCTCTTCAATGAAATGCCTGTTTGTGTCTTTTGCCCATTTTTTGATTACTTGTGCTTTTCAATTGTATTTATGGGAGTATTGTGTCTGTTTGTATATGTGTCTGTTTATGTGTTTGTTTGTATATACCAACATATACATACCTATATATTCTTGATGCTAATCCTTGTCAGTTGTGTATTTGTGAATATGTTCATCTAGTTCACAACCTGTTTTCACTCCCTTTACATATTTATGATAAAGTTTTAAATTTTAACACTGTCAACTATCATTTTCTTTCATAGACAGTGTTTTTCATGTATTGTTAAAAGATATCTCTCCCTACTCCAAGTTATAAAATATATTCATTTATGTTTCCTCTTAAGTCTTTTAACATTTTGTTTTGACATATATATAGATCCCTAATCCCATGGAGTTGATTTTTGTACACGATGTGAATCAGGAATCCAATTACATCCTTTGTGCATGTGATACCACAGTGTGTTCCTTTTTTCAAATCTTTTTCTGCTCCCTTTGTTCTCCACTAATCTTACATGCCACTTCTGTTATGTAACCAAAGTTCACACATGAAAGATTTGTTTCAGGACTCATACTTTTTTGGTCATTTTGGTCAGATTACTGTTCATGTACCACATTATTACTAGAGCTCATAATAGGTTCTACATTTATAATAGGTTCTGCTATCTTGTAGAAAAAGTCCCTTTTCACCTGTGACTATTCCTGTCCTTTTTCTCTTTCATTAAAATTTTAGAGTTACCTTTAAACAGTTTATGAAAAACTCTGCTGGGATTCTGATAGGGGAATTGCTTGATCTTTTAGATCAGTTTGATGAGACCTGGTTTTTTTTTTTTTCTTTTTTGAGACACAGTCTCACTCTGTTGCTTAAGCTGGAGTGCAATGGCATGATCTCAGCTCACTGCAACCTCTGCTTCCCAGATTCAAGTGATTCTCCTGCCTCAGCCTCCCAAATAGCTGGGATTACAGGCACCCGACACCACACCTGGCACCCCTGGTTATTTTTTTGTTTTAGTAGAGACGGGGTTTCACCATGTCAGCAAGCCTGGTTTCAAACTCCTAACCTCGTGATTTGCCCACCTCAGGCATGAGCCACCACATCTGCCTTTTTTTTTTTTTTTTTTTCCTTGAGACGGAGTCTTGCTCTGTCATCCAGGATGGAGTGCAGTGGTGCAATTTTGGTTCACTGCAAGCTCTGCCTCCTGGGTTCAAGTGATTCCCCTGCCTCAGTCTCCCAAAGAGCTGGCTCCACCACACCCAGCTAACTTTTGTTTTTGGGGTTTTGAGATAAGAGTCTCATTCTGTCACCGAGGCTGGAGTACAATGGCCCCATCTCAGCTCACTGCAACCTCTGCCTCCTGGGTTCAAATGATTCTCCTGTCTAGGCCTCCCAAGTAGCTGGGATTATAGGTGTGTGCCACCACACCCAGCTAATTTTTGTATTTTTAGTAGAGATGGGGCTTTACCATATTGGCCACGCAGGTCTTCAACTCCTCACTTTGTGATCCACCTGCCACAGCCTCCCAAAATGCTGGGATTACAGGTGGCAGCCACCGTGCCCAGCCTAGATTTTGCTGTATGCTATCACATTAAGAAAATTTTCTTCTATTACTTAACTATGAATAGGAATTGAATTTTATCCTGTCCTTTTTATGCATGTAGTAAAGTAATATTTTTTCTCTTTTGTTAACATGGTGAATTATGTTTATGGCTTTTCTAAGATTAATCTTTGCAGACCTGGGAAAAATCAAACTTGGGTATGGGGTATTATCATTTTTATATATTATTGCATTGTTTCTTTATGAATTTGGCCTCTATTTTCAGGAGTAAAATGTTGGCTCACATTTTTTTTCTTGTATCTTGGGTTTTGATACCTGCGTCCTCCTGGCATTACAGAATGAGCTGGGAAACATTTCTTCTTTTCCTTTTATATAAAATTGGGATGACCTGTCCTTTGAAGGTAAAAATTCATCTATAAAGCCATCTGGACCTTGTGTTTTGTGGGAAAATATTTAACTGCTGCTTTAATTTCTTTAAAAGTTATGTTTTAGTGAATTCAAGATGCTATAACAAAATACCATCGACTGGGTGGGTTATAAACAACAGATTTATTTCTCACTGTTCTGAAGGCTGCACATCTAAGATCAGGGTGCTAGCATGGTTGGGTTCTGGTGAAAGTCCTCTTCTTCCAGGTTGCAAACAGCCAACTTCTTGCTGTACCCTCATACAGTTGAAAGGGTGAGAGCTCTCTGGGATCCCTTCTATAAAACCATAATCCCATTGATGAAGACTATTCTTGTGACCCAATAACCTAAAGGCCCTACCTCACAATACCATCACATTGGAGGTTAGGATTTCAACGTATGAATTTGGGGGGACACAAACATTCAATTTATTGCAAGTTATATGGGGTTCAAGTTTTCATTATGTGCTTTGTCCCTTTGTCTTCCTCCTCTCCTTCTGGGACACCCATTTGCATATGTTGCTATGCTTGTGTCCTCAGGTCTGTAAGACTTTTCCTTCATTCCTTTTTCTTTCCGGTCTTCAGTGGACAATCTCAGTTGACATTTTCTTTTTCAGTGATTCTTTCATCTGCCAGCTTAAATCTGTTGCCTGGCACAGTGGCTCATGCCTGTAATCTCCAAGCACTTTGGGAGGCTGAGGTGGGTGGATGACTTGAGGTTAGTTCAAGACCAGCTTGGCCAACATGGCAAAACCCTATCTCTAATTTTAAAATTAGCTAGGCATGGTGGCATGCACCTACAGTCCCAGCTACTTGGGAGGCTGAAGAACAATCGCCTGAACCTGGGAGGTGGGTTACAGTGAGCCAAGATTGCAGTGCATTCCATCCTGGGTGACAGTAAGACTGTCTCAAAAATAATAATTAACTGTTAAGTCTCTCTAGTGAATTCTTCATTTATTGTGCTTATCAACTTCAGATTTTCTGTCTGAAAATTAATTAAAATTTGTCTTATTAGACTCTGTTTTGGTGAGACATCATTTTCATGCTTTGCTTTTAATTATTTAGGTACAGTTTCCTTTCATTCTTTTTAACATATTTCATTTTTGTTTTTGTTTTGTCTGCTTGTTTGGAGACAGGGTCTTGCTGTCACCCACACTGGAGTGCAGTGATGCAATCTTGGCTCACTGCAACCTCAACCTCTCGAGCTCAAGTGATCCACCTCAGCCCCCAAGCAGTTGGGAGTACAGTCATGTGCCACCACGCCTGGCTTTTTTGTAGAGATGGGGTTTCACCATGCTGCCCAGGCTGGTCTCCAACTCCTCAGCTTAGGCAACCCGCCCACCTTGGCCTCCCAAAGTGCTGAGATTACAGGCATAAGTCACTGCACCCAGCCAACATATTTGTAACATCTGATTTAATGTCTTTGTCCAATAAGGACAGTGTCAGCTTCCTTGGGGACAGTGTGCATTGATTGCTTTATTTTCTCCCATGTCTGAGCTATGCTTCTTTCTTTGCATGTTTCAGAATTTTGTTAAAAGGTGGACATTTTAAGTAATATAATGTGGCAACTGTGGAAATCATACTCCTCCCTCCTCATGGTTGTTGCTTTTTCTTTAGTGCCTTTTCTAAACTAATTCTGTAAAGCTGTATTTTTTGTCATCTGTGACCACTGTAGTCTCTGATAGCTTGATGGTCCTCTAAACATTAGATCTCCTAATTACCTAGACTTAGAAGTCACTCGGCCAAGAGCTTATAACTGTCTTAGACTTTACTTCCTCATTCCGTAGACCCTCAAGGTATTCGGTGGTGAGAGCTTAGGGCTTTTCCTCTCTCCTGAGCATGCACACAGCACTGGGCATGAGCACATCCCTATGTGTATGAATAGCCATCTAGATTCCCAGGAATATGTCAGAGCTTTTCAAAGCCCCCTGTAGCCACCTCACAGTGACAGAAAGCAGATTAGTGGTTGCCTGGGGCCAGTAGTAGGGGGATGGGTACACAAGGAAGTGATGAAAACGTTGTTACACAGGTATGTTCATTCGTCACCTCACATTGAACTTTATACTTTAAACAGTTTATGTAAATTATACCTCAACAAAGCTGATGTTTTAAAAGATTTAATTTAAAACAAAAAGCATGGTCTGCAGGAGACACTGTCCTCCTGATCCTCTAAAAAACAGGTCTCCATTCTCATACGTGCAGAACAAAGACAGGGTGGGAGGAAAAGGAGCCAAAGCCCTCCAGATGCCTGAAGGGAACTGCCCATGCTAGGCCTGGCACAGCCAGATGAGCCAGGGTTAAGTCAGAAATACAGATCTGTATGTGTTAAGTCTGTTAGCACCCAATTCTTAACTTTTAATGCTACATAAGCTAAACAAAATGAGTTGGCAGGCAAGATGTGACTCCCAGGCAGCCAGCTTGTGTCTTGTGTGCATCCTAAAATCTGCCCTGGGTTCAGCCAGCAGAGCTGTGAACTCACACCACAGTGGCTTTTTCTGGGTGGGCCTTGGCATGCTGCACTGAGCTTCCTTGAAGGAGAGGAAGTGAGAACCAGTCTAGTGCTGTGGGTCTGGGCCAGTCCTTGAGATGGGGCCTTAAAGCCTCTCTTGGTAAAAACTAGCTCTGTGGGAACAAATAGGACACCCTCTCCTCTGATTCTATATATCATCTGGGGGCTCCTACTGTACTTCAGTGGTACCTGACCTGGGTTGCTCCTGGAAAGGCAGGACAGCCCATGGAGGCCCCCAGCATTTACTACTGCTGAGAACTGTGTGCCCTGAGGGGTTTGGGGCTTGTGCTCTTGCCACTGCCCTTGGAACACATGTGGGAGTTCTGCCTCATTCTTTTTGGGGCATGGCCCACTCTGCCAGGCATCTGACATGTTCTTTGTCCCTGGCTCAGTTTGGGGGCAGCCCAGTGTCCTGCGCTGTGGGACTGGCTGTCCTGAATGTCTTGGAGAAGGAGCAGCTCCAGGCTCACGCCAGCAGTGTGGGCAGCTTCCTGATGGAGCTCCTCGGGCAACAAAAAATCAAACATCCCATCATCGGGGACGTCAGGTGAGGCTCTGGGGGTAGCAGTCACCACCCACCTGCCAGGGCCCAGTGTGGTACCATTTCCTTCACCTCCTAACCACCTGGGATGGTGGGGTTATGTCCACTCTCATGAGGAACTGAGACACTGAGAGGTGCCATTGCCCAAAACAGCACTCCTGGGTACAAGAAAGCCAGTACATGAACTTTCTGTACTGTACCTAGCTACGCCCGAGCCTCTCTCCTCTTTCCATACCAAAGATCCCTCCAAGTCCAGTTACTTCCTCAAACTGTTCTCACCACCTTCTGAGGGTGCCTCCTGTGCTCAGCCTCCCCAGGAGGCACAGGTAGGAGCCCAAGCAGAGGGTAAGGTGAGCACCCTGGCCCCTCAGGCCTGGTCTCCTGAGATGTCACCGTCCCCTCCAGGGGTGTTGGGCTCTTCATTGGCGTGGATCTGATCAAAGATGAGGCCACAAGGACACCAGCAACCGAAGAGGCTGCCTATTTGGTATCAAGGTATTTTCTTCTTCAAACAAGTTGTTTCCTGGAGTAGCAGACATTCCAGGTGCCTCTTTGCAGGGCCAGGGGCCCCGAGTGGAAAGGAGCCTCTTCATCTGTACCCTCGTTCCTGGGCACTCTGGGCCAGACTTAACTGAAAGAGGGCTGGGGGCTTGGGGGGACAGCTGATCCTATCAGCTGAGGACAGAGGTAAATGGCATTACCAGTTCTGTACCCAATGACTGACCGCAAAGGCCGCAGATGAGACACAGGCCATTCCCAGCTCAGAGCAGCACCTCTGCCTAGAATGCCCAAGTTAGCATGGTGCTCAAACCCAGGAACCCCTAATGCCACCTCCCACAGGCTGAGGGCTGGAGAAGGGAAGCAGCTTCTCCAATCATACCAGGGAGCTGTGGCAGCACCAGACTCTGGGTTCCTATGCCACGCAACAGGTGGTTGGGATGGACAAGACTCCTGCTACCAAGCTGGGTCAGGGGTGTCTGAGAACTCAGACTCCACCGGCCCCACTGCCCCGGTTTGCTTTCACTTGGATCCCAAGGCCCCAGGACTTTTTCCCCTTTTAGTTTAATCATGCCTCCCTTTTATCTCCATTTCCCAGGCCTACCCCCTCCCCTCTCCCCCACCACTTAGTTCTGGTATCTGATGTGTCCTTATTCTAACTGTGAGACATGCACGGTATTGATGTAAATTACCCTGTTCTGTATTTGAGCTTGGCCTGCCTTCTGTCACATCCCCAGTTTACCCCTACCCACTTCCCAGGAGCCTGGGGATTCAGAATGGTCGGGTGGCATGGAAGGAAACCCACCCTTTCATCTCACAATACCCTGGGGGTGCTTTTCCAGTTCAGTGAGAAAATGGGTGAGTCACCTGCAATCACCCTGCTAGATGGCAAGAGCTAGATCTGGCCCCAGGGCCATATTAACTCCAAAGTCCAAGCCTGTTCTTTCTGGCATGGCCTTGGTCAATGCCAAAAAGACTGGGATATGAAAATGAAGCCAGAAGGCAGACTCCCCACCCCCTGCCAAGGCAAAAAATAACAAGGTTTACAAAAAGAATGGTAACAAGGATCAAAGAATATAAACGCAATCATGCAGACCCCTCATCTCAGAGATGAGGTTAGGCTGTGGACTAAAAGTGATTGGTAGCTACAAATAAGATAAAGCCATCTTCCTAAAAATAATTGGAAATTTTAAACTGGAATTCTAAGATAACCCAGAAGACAGGGCAGAAGATTCCTGAAGCTAGTGAGCAGCACATGGGGCTCATTATACCAACTGCACTGTTGGACATTCTCTATATAAGGAAACAATATCCATCACGTAAACCACACACAAAACCAGAGAATTGTTGCAGTCTGATGTTTCCCTGTGGCCATTCATTCTTGGCTTAGACTGGGGCTCCAAGGTTAGGTGAGGCAAGGCGCCTGTTCTGGGGGCAGCATGCTCAGGGCCAGGTGTGATACACTCCAAGCAGGAGCTTCTGTGGGCCAGATGCACAGGACTTTGGCAGAGGTGACCAGTATGGTGTCTTGGCAGGAACTGTGCCATGAAAGGCTCCAAAGGCAGTGTGGCTGAAGCACTGGATATGAGGCCCTGGCCAGGCTGAGGAAGGCCTTGAAGGCCATGTAAAGGGGTGTCCTGTCCTCACAGGCTGAAGGAGAACTACATTTTGCTGAGCACTGATGGCCCTGGGAGGAACATCCTGAAGTTTAAGCCCCCAATGTGCTTCAGCCTGGACAATGCACAGCATGTGGTGGCAAAGCTGGATGCCATCCTGACTGGTGAGCTTGAACCCAGCAGCTAGAGCATCCTAGCATGGAACAGGGAGAGGACAAGAGTCCAAGAGCAAAGGCACATGTCCTCTGGACAGTGCAGGGAGCAACAAGCAGAGAGGGGGCCTTCATGGCCCAAGCTGCTACTATTCCTTGCCTGTGCCTCAGAGCTCCCAGGGATGTGGGTAGATGGGAGCTGAACCACCACCCAGCCTGCCTAAGCAGGCAACAGATGGATGCAGGACAAAACAAGGCTGGCCTGAGAAACTGGCTGTAAGAACTACAGTGGGAGGTGAGACCCCGTTTTACTGCCAGCCTAGGGTGTAGCAATGGCAAGGAGTTTCATTCTGTCCATGAGCCAGGTCACATGAGACTGCTGGGTGGCTGATACAAGATTTGCACCACTGAGGGCTGACTGAATGCAAAATGAATATTCTACCCCACATTCCCCATCACCTAGGATGGTCAGTGTCAACCCAGGGTCCCCACTAAATCCGTTTACAAGGAAATCTCCTGGCTGCATTGCCATTTTCAGCTCAGTGAGACCCCAAATAGGCAAAGGTACATCTCACAGTAGAGAAGCAACCTGTGCCCCTCTACCTCTAGATGATTACTGCTACCCATTGGTGTGTTTAATTCCCAGAAGCTGGGAGAGGCCCATCCCTGCTAGACACAATTGGAAGTGTGTCTGATGCAGAAGGCCATGTGTTTGTGGGGCACAAAGGCTGGCCACAGAATTGGCTTAGGGATCCTAGGCAGAGCCTAGAAGTCTAGAACTTAATGCTGGCTTTGTGCTTTTCAGGAAATTGCTGAAATTGCTTACTCCTTTGGGGAGTAAGACATGGGTGTGGATAGCCAGGGGGCCTAATCTCTGAACTTCCAGTTTGACACTTAACTAACAGGGGGTCTTCAGAGAAAAGTGAGTAAGTTGGAGTGGCTTTGCGGTCTTTTTCAGACATGGAAGAGAAGGTGAGAAGTTGTGAGACGCTGAGGCTCCAGCCCTAAGCCAGCCTGCTCTGCCTAAGTGTACACTCCAGGTGAGTGGGCCCTGTTTCTTGCTGTTGGAGATGCCAAGCAAGTTCCTTACCATCAGCAGTGAGCAGCCTCAGGAAGCTGTGCCTTTATAAAAGACATTTTTGTTCTGATTGACGCTCCTTCCCAAAGGTTAGTTTCAACACTGGAAAATCTCCAACACTTAACTTGCACTTGATGGCAGGAATAGCCGTTTCCTCCCTTGAAACCTATGGGGCTGTATCCACGTGGAAGCCCAACCTGCTTGTACACACTCTTGTAACCACCTAGTCTTATGCCCCAAATACCTGACCTGGAGTTGGGCTCCCATCCAGCCAATAAACAAATCCTGCTAGAGCAGGCTTTTCTGTACCAGCCAGGAGGGGGCACTGTTGTGCCCCAATTCAGCTGACTCTGACACTGGCCTACTGTGTAAAGAACTGCATTTTCGGCTGGGCGTGTTGACTCACACCTGTAATCCCAGCATTTTGGGAGGCCAAGATGAGAGGATCACCAAGTCAGAAGATGGAGACCATCCTGGCCAACATGGTGAAACCCCGTCTCCACTAAATACAAAAAAATTAGCTGGGTGTGGTGGCACGTGCCTGTAGTCTCAGCTTGAACCCGGGCAGTGGAGGTTGCAATGAGCCGAGAATGTGTCACTGCACTCCATCCAGGCAAGAGCAAGATTCCATCCCAAAAAAAAAAAAAAAAAAAAAAAAAATCCCATTTTCATTCATCAGCCAAGAAGGTTGGTGTTCCAAGGTGTCCCAGGAGGGGGCATGCCTGCTGGGGATGTGAGGCCTCACTGCCCCATCCTCACTCCCCTAAGCCTCTTACTCCTTTCTTTAAAGGGAGGGCAGTCCTTAAAATGGACATGCCAACAACTGGGCCTGCAATTGGGAAGAGTCTGCTGTGGGGAGGAAGCCCCAAGTCCAGGGCACCTGGCACACCCCCCACCCTGAGCAAGAGGTCTCACACAGCATATCCCACACTCACCCAGGCTTGGGGATTTTTAAATTTTTATTTCAAAAGCTTGGATAGCTTTAATATCCAGGTTGTGGCAAAATCAGGACACGTGTAAAATACCTTACAATACATTAGATTCCCAAAAGGTACCAAAAAGTACAGTAAAATTAACACTTCCATTACAGGAAATGTATGACACAAATAATATAAAATTAAAAGGTGAAAAAAAGGTGACACTGGTTTCCTAATAAGATATAATTTGCTCTTTACAACCAGGGTCCACAGGTCCAGGCTGCAGAGCAGCAGCAGGAAGCAGAGCCTCCCATCTGGTTCTGGGGGACCTGGTAATAAAAATCAGCCCATAATGCCACTCTGGCCTCTCAGACACCACACCCTGCCTAAACAGCTAGAGCTCTGGAAATAGTAAACAGGAGAGTGATTTCCATGGGGGAAATTTTAAATAAGATGCACATGGGACAGGCCATAGAAAGTTTGTCAAGTTAAATTTGGTACATAATTGTGTTCACTCCATATCCAAACAAAGCATGTGTGCAGTCAGTTGGTCGCTCCTGCTGCCGCCTCAGTATGGCTTGTAGTTATTCTGATGGCCACCACGTCGCTGGCTCTTGCCGTAGTTTGTACTACCCTGACCTAGGGACGAGAACAACCATAGCAGCTACTATTTACGAGCATTTGCCTGTGCCAGGCGCTTGATATGCATCTTCATAGGCTCCTTACCAGCCCTGGGCCAACAGATTGCCTTCCTCACCTTACTAAGGCCTGGAAGTCTATAGGCTCAAAATCGAGTAGCTCCCATGGCTGAGCCAGGCCTGTCTGACTCCAAAGCCCCTGCTGCTGGTGGCTCCTGCACTGTCTGTCCTGCCTCCCCTTGGGGCGGTGAGTGGATGGGACCTCCCTCTCTCCTACTTACTGTAGTCGTAGCCGGGGCCGTAGCCGTAATAGCCATAGGGCGAGTAGTCGTAGCCGCCATAGCCAGGCCCGTAGCCCTGCTGGTAGCCGTAGCCCTGGTTCCAGTAGTTGCCGTAGCCCTGATTCCAACTCTGACTCTGACCTGTGGGGGGAGCAGGGCACAGGGGCCCGTGGACCATTTAGCATATGCAGGAGCTAGGAGGGAGGAAATCCTGCCCTTTGCGTGGCAGGTTACTATGGCAACTCAGGCAGAAGCCAAGGGGCTGCTATTCTGGTGTACAGGGCCCTGGGCCCAACCCTGCATCTAAGAGACCCAAGCAAAGGATGAAAGACCGGGATGCTAACTTTACTCGGGGTAAACAAGGCAGCTCACTCACTCAGTCACTCTCTGATCACTCCCACTCTCCTTGGCAGCTTAGCCTTTAAAAAAGATACAGTTCAGGCTTTGGAGTCAGAGGGGCCTGGGATGGAAGGGGATAAACGCCTGGCACAGCTCTGCCCTACCCACCCTTCTGCCTACCTGCTCAAAGATGTACCAGACTCAGGACATCCACAGAGCCAAGACATCCATTATGTCCCCTTCCCCAGAGTATAACACAAATGCTCTCTGCCCGGGGCACCCAAGCCATTCCAAGGGGCAGCAGCAGGCAGCAACAGCCTCAAGCACACAGCCCCCACCCAGAGCCATTCCTATTCCTGCTCGTTCCCCACCTCACACAATCTGCCCACCCCTACTGCACAGCACCAAAGGGAGCCCCAAGACAGGCATGGAAGGCTCCATGTAGGTAGACAAACAGGACCCATCTTCATCCAGGTTCCACTCACCTCCACCTCCACCACCGCCTCCGCTGCCTCGGTTCCCTCGGTTGCGGTTTCCACGGCCCCCAGAGCCATACTGCTGCTGCTGATAAACTTCTTTAGGCTGGGCCACCTTGATCTCACACTAAAATGCCAAGAGGACAGTGGTCAGGCCAGCAGGACAAGCTCAGGACGTTGACTGCACAAAGACCATTCAGATGGTAGATCAGGTCCATTTGCTTAAGAAACAAAATATACTACTGTGGAAAGCCACCTGTGGGCTAAAGCTCATGGAATCCCAACTAAAACCAAGGGCCTTCCAGCTGAGACCCTTTCCCACAGCCCCAGGGCAACTCCATGTCTAAGGGAGGCAGGCAACTGGGCCAATTGCAGCCCAGGGGAGCACAGGACAGGCTGGGAGCAAGAACTACACCTTGGTCCTACTGGGCATGAAGATCAGATAAGACTTCTCAAATGAGGGGCCTTAGAAAATGAGGTTTTAATATCTTTTTCTCTTTACAGAAGAAACTCATCTCATTCAAATACACGCTATTGAGAAGGTGACCCTGATCTCCCTCTTACAGATAAAGCCAGCTTTCAGAGGCTCAGGGTGGTGGTGGGGCCTGCCTGAGGCCATAATGCTACCCACCCCCTCTTCCTAACCACTGGTCTGCTGTTGGGATAGGCCAGACATCTGCATCCCCTCAAGTCAATTTCCTTTTTGTCCACTGGGGGTGGGTTCGGGTAGGGTGGGGTACTTGCAAGTGCTACTGCTTCAGTAAGTTAGACCAGACCAGTGTATTTCTAAGGAAAATCCTGATACACACCCCCATTAAAAATAGTACATTTTAGTGTCCCCAATCATACTTTAATTGGCAAATTAAATAATGCAATCTGATATAATCTATCATACTGAATTAAAAACACTGAATACAACCAACTAAATATACTTATTCCTAAGACTCACTCCCAATAGTTTCACTTAAACCCTGCCTTAGAGGCTTTTCCCACCCATTTCCCATTATGGCACAGAGAAAAAGGCCTCTTTATCACTGATTATTACAGGAGTAATAATCAATGCCCCCCCAAATGCCTCTCAGACTTGTCATTTTACAGAAAATGTAAGACTATCCTAATCCAATCTTCCCAAACTCCCAGACAGGATAGACTTCCAGGAGCTCCACCTGTACCACCTTATCTGGCTGCCAAGTCTGCTCAGAAACAAGAGCCTGCCACTCCCTGCCACTGCAGGCCGCACCCTCAACTCCTAACTGCCAACTTGAATTCTGAACTACCCTCTCCCTGACCAGAGTTCAGGAGTTACACCTCTCTGCACATGATTCCACTCATTTGAAAGTAAAACTGACCCTGTATTTAAGGTGGTCAGGACCCTGGCACCTCTTTGAAAGGATTTTTGCCTGGGTATAGGGTTGATTTAAAGAAGTGCCCAGAAGACCAAGTGAGATGGTTCATGCCTATAATCCCAACACTTTACAAGGCCAAGGCAGAGGATTGTTTGAGCCCAGGCAACATAGTGAGACCAGGCTTTAAAAAAGTATGAGCCAGGCCTGGTGGTGCGTGCTTCTGGTCCCAGCTACTAGAGAGACTACGATGGGAGGATCCCTTCCATCCAGGAGGCCAAGGCTGCAGAGAGCCATGATTGTGTTACTACACCCCAGCCTGGGCAACAAAGCAAGACCCTGTCTTAAAGAAAAAAAAAAAAAAAAAAAAAAAGAGTACCCAAAGCAGATGGAAGTGGACAAAGATTTGGTTGTAGGAGGTAGAAAGGCTCTGGAGCAAGAAAAACTTCATCATAGAGGAAAATCATTGAGTTGCAGAAGTTCTGGGATCTTCTGAGACCTTAACTGCAGGCTTCATACACACCCTGGACTCAAGAATCTAGAACACTGTCACCTCTAGCTTTAAACGAGGAACCAAAGAGGCTACCCAACCTGCTCTATTCAGAGGCCACCTTCTGCTTCCTTCACATCCTGTATTGTTTACTGGCAGTCCTCCCAGCCTGGGAAGTCTCTGAAGGATGGCAGCACTGCCCCAATCATGGCAGCATATGCTTCAGAGAGACAGTAGGGTCTAACCAACCTGGAGAGCTCTTGCAGGCAGCCCAACCCCTAAGCCAACCACGTAAGGGCCAGCTCTCCAGCACCACAGGAGACCAAGCAGGGCTGGGGACACCTTACCTTGCTTCCACTGATAGTATGAAACTTTTTCTCCAGAACCTTCTTTACAGGTTCTTCTTCTTTAAAGGTGATAAACACAAAACCTCGTCTTTTGTTCAACTTAGGATCCATTGGAAGTTCAATGGCCTCAATCTGCAAAAAGCAGAGGCAAACTCAGGCCCAATACCTCCCTACCCCCAGGGCATACAGGGAACTCACAGGAGAAAAGACGCCATTGAAAGCAAAAGATAGTGAAAAATAAGCCCGCCTGGGAGGGTCTAGCCAGCCAAGGATACCAAGGACCAGAAAGAAGGCAGTCTTAGGGTGGCTAGTGGGATACTCCCAGGGCCACACTCACCTCCCCAAAATCGCCGAAGTACTCCCTGATCTTTTCCTCAGTGGCTTCAGGATTCAGACCCCCGACAAAGATTTTCTTCACCGGGTCCTTCTTCATAGCCATGGCCTTTTTAGGGTCAATGACACGGCCATCCAACCTGTGCTCCTTCTGGTCTAGAACCTGTTCCAACATAAAGGGGTCAGGCTCTGACTCAGCAGCATGAACCAGGCAAGGCCTGTCTAAGCCATAAAGACCCCAGCACAGATACAAAAATGTGTTTCATCACCTCCAAATTCTACCCCAGCTTAACCTCCCAACTCACTTTTCTTCAAACCTCAAGTACAGCTAGTTTACCTCGACAACTAGAAACCAGTCCTCACCCTTAAGCCTTTGATCATGCTGTGTACCCTCTTCCTTCCCATGCAATCCCAGGTGAGGCCCATCTCCAGAAGCAAAGCAGCAGGGACGCAGCATAGGCTTAAGATGGGCTGCAGGGGATGGAATCCTGGCTCCATATCCTTACTAGTTGTGACCTCCTACTTCAATCTCTGTGAGCCTTAGGGTTTTGCTTTTTGTCCTGTAAAATGGGGCTAAAAGTCTATATCATAGCAATTTTGGACTCTCTTGTAATCCTCCCAGATATTTAGCACGGTGCCCAGAATAGGTATATAAAAGGTAATGAATGTCAGTCAACTATAATCTTTCCAAACCACTCCAGCACATACTCTTGACTTGCAACTTGTATTTTTATCCCCTCAAAAACTGGAACCTAACCTCTGGCTTTTGCCCAAAGCACTCAACCACATGCAGAACACACAAAACTAGTCATGCTGTAGGAAAGGTGTCCTCTTAGAATTTAAATCGTTTCCGCTGAGACTGCTGAAATCCAGTACCCAGCTTACCTTCTCCACACTGGCCGCATCTTTGAACAGGATAAACCCAAACCCTCTTGACCGTCCAGTGTTGGGATCCATTTTTATTGTACAGTCAACCACCTCTCCAAATTTAGTAAAATAGTCTTTTAAATCTTTTTTGCTGGTATCCCAGCTCAGGCCACCAACGAACATTTTTCTGAAATGGTAGAGTGAGACACATGGCAACAAGTCTTGTAAGCAAGCTGTGATTTTGGAAAGGACTGGCCCCGGCAAAGCTCACACAAAGTCTACAGCCACCCTTAAGAGTCTGCAAGGTGCACGTTTCAAGGATGTTAAATCTCCACTACCCTCCAAATTCAACCGAACCAGGACCCTAAAGAGGCTTGTTAACAAGGCTTTGCAGCCCCAGGCTGTGAGAAGCAAAAAAAGGACCACCTCACCAGGGGTATGGGCCCTGACCACTCGCACCTGGAAATTCATATGTTCTACAACCATGTATCAAAGGGACAGCGTCTTCACCACCTCCTGAGAACTAATTTCAAGGAACTCGAGGCTTCCGGGGGCCAAGCCCGCCCAGGGTTTAGAACATGACTCCGCCCCCGGGAGAGGCGGAGGAGGATGGTCCGGGGCACGGCGCACGCCAACTCCGCCCGCGCAGCCCCGGGGCGGCCCAAGGAGCAGCCGCCGGGCCCCGGGTCCGTGCGCTTTCCCTCTTCCGGGCCGCCCGCCCCTGCACCGGCTTCGGCCCTGGCAGTGCGCGAGCGGCCCCGGGGCGGCGCCAAAGTCGACCCAACAAACTCCTGCAAACTCCAGCGCGAGCGGCAGCGCCAGGCGCGGCCCGCGAGTGCGGCGGGGACGATCCGTAGGCCGCCCCAGCCTCGACCCGAGCTAGGCCGCCGCCCCTCCCCCCGCCGCGTGGCGCCAACAAAAGGCGGCCCCGGAACAAAGGCGGCGCCCCCGTCCGCCCGCGGCCGCACCTACCCCGCATCTTCCTCGTTCTTGCTGGCGTTGATCTGGTCACCCTCGGCACCGTTCTGATTCCCGCTCGGGGGCGCCACGGTCGCGCCGCCAGCCCCTGCCGTGGCGCCCGCGCCAGCCCCGGCCGGCGACTCGCCTTCGGGGGCGGCCTCGTGTCCGTTCTCGGTAGCGCCCGTCGTCTCCATGGGCTGCTCCTCGCCCGCTTCCGACATCCTAGGCCGAAGCGCGGCGGCTCCTGCAACCAGCGGCGACAGCGCGTCAGGCCGGTGCGGCTCCCGCCCGCCGCCCGCCGCCCGCCGCCCGCCGCCCGCCGCCCGCCGCTCACCTCGCCGCCGATGACGCCGCGGGGCCCGCTCGTCCCCACCCTCCGGAGAAGGCGCCGCGGGCTCGGCTGCACTCAAGCTCGCGCTGCTGATGCCTCCCCTCCGTCACGCGACGGAGCTCTTCCAGCTGCGTCTTCTTCTCCCGAGCCGCGACCGCACAAGGACGCAACGGCCCACAACCGAGCTCCCGCCCGCGCGGTGCTGCCGCCTGACAATGCCGACTCGTGGCGCTCTTTATAATGCCGGAGCCGGGGGCCCCCACTTCGCAACAAACTGCACGCTCATTGGCTGCTCAATCCCGTCACTCAGCCTGATAGCAGCTTCCCATTGGGCTTGGTGGCGCGCGCGCTCTAGATCCGGGCGGGCTTTGTCCTCATTTAGAACTGAGTTCTGCGCTCCAGAGGGTTCCCGAAGCCGGGCGGGACAGCTCCAAGTTCAGGTTGGCCAGGCTGCAGCCCGCCACAGCATTAGCGATGGGAGAGCCTGACTGGACTGTACTCTCGTAGAGGCGGTAATCTCTTGCTTTCGTGCGCTTGATTCCCGCATTGGCAGCTTCCTCCTCCCCATGTCCCAAAAGAGGAAACTGGGCCGGAGAAAGTTTCTCAGCCCAAGGTTGCGTCGCTGGAAGTGGCAGAAGTCAGGCTTCTGTGGTTGGACGAGTGGGGTCTTCCAAGGCCTCAGCACGGCTCCGAGGGATTGGAACGTAGCCCGCCCTCTCCCTGGACCTTGGTGCTCTCCAAGCCCTGTGCTTGCACCCTTTCTGTCGCCTCCCCCAGAGATGCTCGGCAGGGTTGATGAGACCTTGGTGTTACCCGATCTTCGGTCCCCTGGCACCACCTTGACTACTGACATCGCATTTGTACTTTTATTTACTTAAAATTTTTCCTTCAAATCAATCCATTTATTTGTGTTTCGATTTCTTTTTTTTTTTTTTTTTTTTTTTTTTAAGACAGTCTTGCTTGTTTCCCAGGCTGGAGTGAAGTGGCGCGATCTGAGCTCACTGCAACCTCCGCCCCCTCTTCAAGCAGTTCTCCTGCCTCAGCCTCCCAAGTAGCTGAGATCACAGTTTAATTTTTGTATTTTTAGTAGAGACGGGATTTCGCCATGTTGGCCAGGCTGGTCTCGAACTCCTGACCTCAGGTAATCTGCCCACCTCGACCCCCCAAATGCTGGGATTACAGGCATGAGCCACCGCGCCCAGCCAGTGTTTCGTTTTCATTTGTTTGAGACGTGGGTCTTGCTCTGTGGCCCAGGCTCGTCTCAACTGCTGAGCTCAAGAGATCTGCCCGCCACAGCCTCCCAAAGTTCTGGGATCACAGGCTGAGCCACCGCAACCGGCACCATTTATTTTTGTTGAAACTTTTTTTTTTTAAGACAGATAACCACTTCACTCTTGAGTTTAAGAACGGAGTGGAGGAGTTCTTCCTAATCCGAAAAACTTCTTTATGTTATCTCCTTGACCACAAAACTTGAAAGGCCTAGGTAATCCCTTTATTCCTTTTAATCGAATGGTTGGTGGGCCCCAAGGCAAGCAGGATTACAACCTCCCAATCCTGCAGGTTACCAAATAGGAACCCAGAATACAAGGAGCTAGCGTTTCCATTGGATTCCTGCAGCCAGGATCAGTGTGTCTGGCTGAGGATCCCATTTTCTCTTTTGTGTCTTTACAACCCAAGTAAGGTGGTACTGTCACCAATTTTATTTTATTTTTATTATTTTGTTTTTTAACACAAGATTTTGCTCTGTAACCCAGGCTGGAGTGCAGGGGCACGACCACAGCTCTCTGCAACTTCAACCTCCGGGGCCCAAATGAGCCTCCTGCCTCAGCCTCCCAAGTAGCTGGGACCACAAGTGTAACCACCACACCTAGCAAATATTTTTGTATTTTTTGTAAACACAGTCTCACTAATTTTTATTTATTATTTTGAGACAGTTTTGCTCTTACTGCCAGGCTGGAGGGCAATGGCACAATCTTGGCTTACCGCAACCTCCGCCTCCCAGGTTCAAGCGATTCTGCCTCAGCTTTCCAAGTAGCTGGGATTACAGGCATGTGCCACTACATCTGGCTAATTTTGTATTTTTAATATAAGAGACAGAGTTTGTCTGTGTTGGTCAGGCTGGTCTCCAATTCCTGATCTCAGGTGATGCGCCCACCTCAGCCTCCCAAACTGCTAGGATTACAGGCATGAGCTACCGCACCCGGCCCAATTTTTCATTTTTTATGTTATTTTGAGATGGGGGTCTCACTCTGTTACCCAGGCTGGAGTACAATGTCGCATCTTGGCTCACTGCAACCTCCGCCTCCCAGGTTCCAGTGATTCTCCTGCCTCAGCAGATTACAATAGCTGGTGTTACAGGTACATTCTACCACATCCCACTAATTTTTGTATTTTTAGTAGTGATGTGGTTTTACCATGTTGACCAGGCTGGTCTTGAACTCCTGACCTCAGGTGGATCACCAATTTTAAATGAGAAAACTGAAGTCCAGAGCAGTGGCCCAAAGTTACACAGCCAACTCAGACACTAACTCCACCCAGGCAGTAGAGTTGCCCTGAAGATGATCGAGTTTCACATTTTGAAAATACATGGACTTCAGACTTTTCTAGGAAAGTCTGAAGATTTAGCTACACTGCACTGCATTCCCTGAAGGTGGCAATCAAGTGGAGCTGGGATGCCCATACCCAGGTAAGCAAGTGCTCTCTGTTTCACCCCAAGGCCACTCTTCACTCTTCCAGGCTAGATTCCATCACAGGAAGTCACATATTTCCATACAACCTTACTCATGTCACTGAGATCTGGCAGCAAGGCTTTCAGGGAGGTCTCTAACAAACTGTTCACCCCACCTCCACCCCAGCCCTTGTCAACCCACACAAATGAGGGCCATGGCCGTGGCCTGCAGGAAATGATGGACACAGCTTCCCAAGCAGTGAAGGTAATTCAAGAAATTAAGTTCAAAGTCAAATAGTGTACATGCAGCCCAAGGACATGACTATAGGCATAAATTCTCTTCATCTTCCACATGGATTCTTTTAGCACAACTCAGAAACACTTTCAGTGACATGTAAAGTCTGAGGATACAACATTTGGACAGCGCTTAGCAGCTTGAAAAATGCTTTCACCAGCCTTGCTTTATTGGTGCTTCAAAATAGCTTTTTTTGTGTAGTTACCCACATTTTATGCACAAGAACACTGAAACCACAGCTAAAACTGTGGCCGCAAAACCAACATATCCAACTCCACATTGGGGATTGTTTCCAGGGCTCCTGGCTACTGTGGGACAAGGTGTGTCTGAGCTTCTGAGTTCCTTCCTAGTGAAACCCCATCTCTACTAAAAATACAAATAATTGGCTGGGCCTCATGGCCCAGGCCTATAGTCCCAGCTACTCAGGAGACTGAGGCATAAGAATCACTTGAGGCCGGGCGCGGTGGCTAAAGCCTGTAATCCCAGCACTTTGGGAGGCCGAGGTGGGTGGATCACGAGGTCAAGAGATAGAGACCATCCTGGTCAACATGGTGAAACCCCGTCTCTACTAAAAATACAAAAAAATTAGCTGGGCATGGTGGCGCGTGCCTGTAATCCCAGCTACTCAGGAGGCTGAGGCAGGAGAATTTCCTAAACCCAGGAGGCGGAGGTTGTGGTGAGCCGAGATTGCGCCATTGTACTCCAGCCTGGGTAACAAGAGCGAAACTCCGTCTCAAAAAAAAAAAAAAAAAGAATCACTTGAACCTGGGAGGTAGAGGTTGCAGTGAGCTGAGATTGCACTACTACACTCTAGCCTGGGTGACAGAGAGAGACTCTGTCTCAAAACAAAAAAAAAATATTCTGAAACTCAAATAAGGTAATGGCTTAGAAAATACTTCATAAACTAGAAAGAACTGCAGGCAAGTATGGGTCAGTCTCAGCAAAAAAAAAAAAAAATTGTATTCATATTGTATCCAAGGGTGTTTCTGCCAAAGGCAAGGCAGCACACTGTTTGGAAACAGTAGTGAGTCCTTTTGACACAAGGCTCCCTACTTTTGTTATTAGGTCCAGTTACAGACCCTGAGTGGGGGGCACTTCCATGACGGCAAGGTTCTCAAGTCAGCCAGGAGCTCTGTTACCCCTGAAAATCTCTTAAAAGACCCATAAGACCCCTAGGGTACATATTCCCTGGCTTATTTGGGCTATCCAGAATATGTGCATAAAATGTGTACAATCTCAGCCAGGCGCAGTGGCTCACATCTGTAATCCCAGCACTTTGGGAGGCCAAGGCAGGTGGATCATGAAGTCAAGAGATCAAGACCATCCTGGCCAATTGGTGAAACCCTATCTCTACTAAAAATACAAAAATTAGCTGGGCATGCTGGCATGCGCCTGTAGTCCTAGGAGGCTAAGGCAGGCAGTTCCAGCCTGGCAACAGCAAAAAAAAAAAAAAAGTGGACAATTTCCAATCTAGAAAAGGACACACACAAAATGCTTTTGGATTGTTTTTTAATTACATGAATTAATTTTTCTCACATTCTTTTTTTTGGTTTGTTTTTTGGCTGAGCCTGCAAGGTGGAAGTTGCATGAGTTAACTACGAATATATTGTGGCTCAGCTGTGGCCAGCTCCCACAGCAGCAGCTTCCCACACTCCACCAGACCAACCCCAGCTCACCTCCTTCAGGGGAGCTGGAGTCCTCCAGCCAGAGGGATCTTTCTAAAACACAAGTCATAAGATCTGAGAGCTACAGTGAAAAAAGGAAAAATTCCAAATGCAAGTCCCATCTTGTCACTACCTCTGTGTGAAAACTCTGGCTGACTTCCCAGTGCTATGAGGATGAAGCCTTAAATTCTGGTGAATACAAGTGGGAGAGACAACTGTGGCTCCCAGAAATCAGTGTCCCCACCTTGCCAGCCTCCCTTGCTGTGTAGTCTTTGAGTGGAAGGGTCCCTTTCATGCTGGGGCTGTGGAGACTGGGGGTCTCCTTCAGACTTTCCTTCCCCCGGTGACCATGTGTTCTACATGGCTAAGCTACCTTATGGAGAAGAGCTGTGCAGCCCGCATCAGATTTGATGCAAGCTGAAAATGGACCTGTACTGGGCCCGGCACTGAGATTTGGGATTTTTTTTTTTCTCAAACTGTAGCCTGGCCTACCCCAACCCTTCCACCTGGCCTGTGAGGGCCGGCATGAGCTGCCTCAGCTGCACCTCCTTGGCACTCTCCACTCCAGCTGTGCTGAATTTCTTTTACTCCTGGAACTCACCAGTGCCCTCCTGCCTCTGGGCCTTTGCACCTGCTGTTCCCTC